TCATAAAACATGAACTGATCATCATTATTTCCTCATTCCAGTTTCACCCAGCATGTAAACAAAGTGTTGGGTGTATTAAGTAACAAATTAACCAGTTACTATAATTAAATTATAATACTTACCCATTAAAAAAAGTAAAATAAGCAATTACCTGTCAAAACACTTTTTTTAAACAAACTCTACAAAAAGCTTAATCCAAATTAAATGGATCACCCAATTCTCGGTCAGCACGAATCCAAAATGTTCCCAGATGTAAGAATCGGTTTTCCAACAACATTCTTGGTTGAACTTGAACTTGCTGAATCCAGCCTAATGTTATATTCTAAAAGAAATGTATATATATATATATATATATATATATATATATTTTTTTTTTTTTTTTTTTACATTTTGCAAACATGTTGAAACTGTATTGTTAAAGACATCAGGTAAGAGGTTAACGTCATTTTTGTATTTTTTTTATTCTACAGTTCAGTATAGGAAGAATATGGCATACGGCGCTGAAGACCTTTTCTTTATTTTCATCAGTTTCTAGCAAGGTAAGGGGTTATTCATGAATTAGAATTGTTTTGTTATATTTCTTTCTTTTGTTTGGCTCCACTATTGTCCCCTTACTCGAGTTTAACAAATTTTTGTTTGATACTTTGTTTGAATTTGGTACTTTATTATATTCTTTTAATTATTGAGTTTTTAATTATTGAATTATTAATTATTAAGTCACTTGTGATAAAAATAATAATAATAGTAAAAAACATGTGTTTAAGTTGGTTCAATTATTTAGAGACAAGTGACGTCAACCTCAGCGGGCAGCAGGGGGTGTAAGAGTACTGTGGTACGCTACAAGAGTTTCCCGATACATATCGTGGTTGGTGTATCGCGATATTTTGGTTCGGTTTGTAATATCATACACCCCTAATAAATACTGTAAATAAATTCACAATTTATGTATAATTCAATTCAGAGAGCCAGAGTAATTGTATTATTTATTATACAAATACACATTTGCTTAATAATTCCAATTTTCAACTAAAGAAAGTTACATTTGTCAGGCAATTACATGTTTAAAGTAACAATCAAAATGAAAAAAATAAATAAATAAAAACATCTGTAACCATCTGTAAATATGTAATTCTTCACATGTTACAAAATGTATTTCTATAGAAAAGAACACAACAATACATATTTGGAAAAAACAATAACTACTGACTTTCATAGAATTTTTTTTTTTTTTTTTACTTTCCAATATACCTCTGAATATATATTTTTGTGTCCAAACAAAAAAGGAACCACTTGAGGGAGAGGGCAATTATTCCTTTTGGAAACATAAATTGAGTAAGACAATAGTTCAGGATTGTGAACTATGGTGCATTGGTTTGAAACATCCGCTGTTTGTTGTTAAACTACATTTGATTGTTTGACCATTTGTAATTAAATATGCTTAAATATGATTTTTTTTTAAACAGTTATGTTTGACTCATATTTAAACAATAAAAAGAGTTTAACTTGAACACAGGGAGACCATGCAACTCCACACGGAAATGCCAACTGACCCAGCCGAGGCTCGATCTAGCAACCTTCTTGCTGTGAGGTGATTGTGCTACCCACTGCGCCACCATGATGCCCCTATTGTGGAATGACATTTATTTTTTTATATACATAGTAACTGGGGAGTTTGCATGTTCTCCCTGTGTTTGCATGGGTTTCCCACTTAGTCCAAAGACATGCGCTATAGGTGAATTGAATTATCTAAATTGCCTAAAATGTATGTGTGTAAATGCAAGAGTGTATGGGTGTTTCCCAGTCCCCGCTGCGTAAAAAATATGCTAGATAAGTTGGCGGTTCATTCTGCTGTGGTGACCCCTGACTAATAAAGGGACTAAGCTGAAAAGAAAATGAATGACTGAACATAGTAATTATAAAAATAATTTAAATACAACTTCAATGATGTAATTAGTTATTAATTGCATTTTTGAAGTAATTTACCCAACGTTGATGCATGTAAACAATTGGTTTTCTGAAAAGTGCACCTGTGATATGAGGCAGGAAAGCATTCTAACAAAGCATTCTGAATTTAAGTGCATCCAAACAAAGAATGTTTTGCAGTAAAGGACAAAAACAGAAAACTCGGCTGTGACATCTTCACAGGAAAAAGCAAAACTGTTTGACCAAAGACACAGACGTAGAGACAATGGATGGCAGAGTCGGCCTCAAGCTTATTTCACACATGAAGATCCAATTTATGGCTATTCCCCAAAGGGAGCACACATGCACATCAGGTCCCCACACACAGTGCCCAGGTCTGCCTTGTTTTTACATGGCACACTTGTTTCTGCTCTTTTCCTCCAGGAAAAACCAGTGCCTACCTCTTTTTCTCACACCTGTGCCCTTGTTTCTTCACTGCGAGCATGTGAGCTTTTCCCCCTTAGTTTATTTATTTATTTATTTTTTACAAAAAAATAAAGGCAGTTTATTTGAAGACCCTTTGTGTTATATTTGATAGGGTCTTTATGCTGTTTCACATCCATGAATGAATATATTTACATACACACACACATATATATATATATATATATATATATATATATATATATATATATATATATATATATATATATATATATATATATATACATACAGTTGAAGTCAGAATTATTAGCCCCCTTCAAATTTTTTTCTTATCTTTTACATATTTTCTAAATAATGTTAAACAGAGCAAGGAAGTTTTCATAGTATGTCGGATAATGTTTTTTTCTACTGGAAAAAGTCTTATTTGTTTTATTTCAGCTAGAATAAAAGCAGTTTTAAATTATTAGACCCTTTAATCTATATATTTTCTCGATAATCTACAGAACAAACCATCATTATACCATAACCTGCCTATTTACCCTAACTTGCTTAGTTAACCTAATTAACCTAGTTGAGCCTTTAAATCTCACTTAAACCTGGATAAAAGTGTCTTGAAAAATATCTAATAAAATATTATTTACTGTCATCATGGTAAAGATAAAATAAATCAGTTATTAGAAATGGGTTATTAAAACTATTATGATTAGAAATGCAAAGAAAAAATAATTCTGACTTCAACTGTATATTCAGTAAAATATGCAGCATTTTTTAAAATATTCCAAATGTCTTATAATAGAATATTACTATTGCCATCGTTGCATATAATTTACTTATTAATTTATAATAAGTCTTTCGGATGAGACGTTAAACCGAGGTCCCGACTCTCTGTGGTCGTTAAAAATCCCAGGATTTCCTTCGAAAAAAAGTAGGGGTTTACCCCGACATCCTGGCCAAATCTGCCCACTGGCCTCTGTCCATCATGGCCTCCTGTCACACAACCAGCGATCGCTTTCCAGAGATCGCTGGTTCTCACACAAACTCTCAGGACTTCCGCATTCCCCAGGACTACACATTCATACATGCACTGCTCCCAGACACACACGCCTGCTCAGCCATCTATCCTGATTGCATCACCAGCTGGACCTTGTTCACAGACTGATTTCATCCCATTCATAAGCCACTCTCTCACGCTACCAGTTTGCCGAGTCTTGTTTTCCCAGTGTAACATTAAAACGCGTTTCCCTGTCTTGTTTCTCCGTGTCTCGATCCTAGCCTTGTACCATTGTTATCCTGTTTAGCCGCCTGCCTTTCGACCTATTGCCTGTTATATTGACGACGATTCTGGACTGCCTTAACATACCCGTTTGCACCTGATTTGACCATTGCTTGCCTGACATTGAATAAACTGCATATTGGATCTTACCTCCTGTTGTCTCCTGTCACTCCACCCCAGTCGTGGTAACACCTCCTAACCATCCCCATATTCCAATTGGCTTCATCTCTGTCTCCTCTCCACCAATCAGCTGGTGTGTGGTGTGCGGTCTGGCGCAAAATGGCTGCCGTCGCGTCATCCAGGTGGATGCTGCACACTGGTGGTAGATAAGGAGATTCCCCACCATTGTGTAAAGCGCTTTGAGTGCCCAGAAAAGAGCTATATAAAATGTAAGGAATTATTATTATTATTAATTATTATTATACAAATGATTAATGAATGTGACAATTCATGAAGATATCCAAAAGGCACTAGTATTATATTAAAGGATTCTGATTTATACCTTCCAATTCGTCTCAGCATGGATCAAAGTTTACCCTTTTCTCATCATCCTGTTTCTCATAATTTTGATTAAATATGATTATTTGAATGAGTATTTAACTTTGAATTGATTTTAACTAATGGATAAGTTAACACACTTCTTTATGTAAGAATGTTCAGTGCATTTCCCTGTCTCTTTATAACTATTGTCATGAGCCACTAAACAAGGTCAGAGGTCGCAAAGACCTTGAGTGGAACTGAGGGCTGAAGACTGGAAGCAACTGTTTCTATTGTTATTTTTATGAGTTAATGCTATCTAAAACAGGGGTCACCAACCCTGTTCCTGGAGAGCTACCTTCCTCCAGAATTCAGTCCCAACCCTGATCAAACACACCTGAACCAATTAATAGTACCTAAAGCAGCCCTTGATAATTACAAACAGGTGTGTTTGGTCAGGGTTGCAACTGAAATGTGCAGGAAGGTAGCTCTCCAGGAGCAGGGTTGGTGACCCCTGATCTAAAAGGTCTAAAGTGATTTTGCGTTTTTTACGGTTAATTCTTTTAAAGTGGTTTGTTGCTTCAAACTACCATGATAAAATGTTTTGAAAACTTTAGCCATGAAGATCATTTCTGCAGGAGTGGCATAGGATGTAGTGAAGATGGCAACTCTTAAGCGTCATTAAACTGCACCTTTGTTTGTTGTGAATATTTGCCCTCTAGTGGGGAAAATTACACACTGTGCATTTAAGCGTTTACAAATTCTGTATCAAGTTTCCTGAAAACATTATTGTCACATGAAAATGGTTGGTTAGATTGAAGTGTAAGGATTTTCTATTCCACAGAAAGACTATAGGGTTGTAGATTCACATCAATATCCAAACATAAAAGAAAGTGCAAGTCAGTGAGTTCCGGCAATCATTTATTTGCTTATAAAATCAAAATGGCGCAGTGCTGGTTCTACTGTTAGATGCAGTTTTTAGGAAGAGATACAAAAAAGTGTACAATATTGAAACATCACTTTGTTTTATTATACAGTAAGATCAAAATAATGACATTCTCAAATATTTAAGCCATATATATATATATATATATATATATATATATATATATATATATATATATATATATATATATATATATATATTAAATACAAAAAAAGAAGAACAATACTTTCCACTATAAGACAACACTACCTGATAGAGAAGTGGAGGGGGTTTAGGACCCCTGTGTTTTGTGTTATAGAGAGTAGCAAAACTCATGATACAAATGGCTCACAACCCAGAGCTCTGTCTCAGAAAAACATGGCACATCTTTTATGTTGCAAAATGGTATGTCAAAAGGCACCACACAATACAATTTACAGACATTTTGCAACACACTTTTAAACACTATCACCAAGAAACCTTAAGGCGAATGTCATGTGCAAACTTGAGAAAAAAAAAAACTGATTGAACACACTACTCTCTATTCAACCCCTCCAATTAAAATGTGCTTTTATTCTGTTCCTCTTCACTGAAGGTTGAATCATCTCTATATCTTAGATGTATCAAATTTAAAACGACGATTGCATTAAACATTACATTGGTTTGTGTTCACAGGCATTTCTCTGGTCCCCTCTGTAGACGAGCTCTAGAGGGAGAAGGACCCCATTATAAGTTCCTGTAGTTTTTCCGGCCTTCTCCCTCCTTGATGAAAGTCCATATGAGTTTATTGACGATGTCGGGCTGGTCCTGCTGAAGCCAGTGACTGGCTCCAGAGATGATGTTGAGGCGGAAAAGGTTTCTGATGTACAGACGGCAGGCTTCGGCCATGTCCTGCTCCAGGAACGCGTCTCTTTCTCCCCATAACAGCAATACTGGAGACTTCACTTCACTGTGACTCAGTGGGAGGACACTGCAGGATATAAATAAACACATCACATTGGGAATATGTGCATTAGCTGACATTTTTGTGAAACAGCAAGTACATACTTTAGCATACGTATGACTGCAGTTCTCTACAAGATAGCATGATGCCAACAACTTTTGTTCCTTTTCACACTAATGATATTAGACTTAGCATACGCGTGCGCTTGACGAAGAAGTATACATCAGCCTTTATTATCCCATTTAGGGAAACTAAAAATGCAGCAATGTGCCATAACACAGGTGAAGTTCCATGTACACGTAACCAAATTATTACCACAAAACATAAAAAAAATAATTTTTAGATGAATCCCCCTCCCTGCTGGACTTTAATGACCTAATGGCCACCATTATAAAAGAATTTCTAATTTGGTTTGTCCTGCCTATAGGAACTCTAAAACGACGTCCTGATGGCAGCAGCTAAAACGGTTGTTGATTACGGTAAAATTATCAATGGACCAGTTTAGTTAAACTGCCATTTTCACAAGGCTACACAACCTATTCTTATCTGACAGACTCAAATTACCGTCCCAAGCTACAATACAGAAAGGTAAAACAGATTCAATAAATTGTTTATAAATCAGTGTCATCATAGAGGTGCAAAACCTAAAAGATCTAAGTTTCCTCAGAAAGAACAGTCTTTTTTACAGACAGCCTGGGTGTTAGGGTGAAATGTCAACATGTTGTCGATAACAACCCCTAGATATTTATGGCTGTCAACAATTTTATCAGATCATTCAGACCTTTAGGATGATATAAACTAGAAATTCAAAGAGTTTAGTCAAAGCAGGGTGAATCGGCCTTCAGCTACTACGCTTCCTGCTGCTGGAATCAGCTTCCAGAAATGATCAGATGTGCTCCAACATTAGGCACATTCAAATCAAGACTGAAAACACACCTGTTTAGCCGTGCCTTTGCTGAATTAGCATTGTGCTACATCCATCAGATCGCACTATTATGTCTTTCATTTCTTTTTCATTCTTTTATAACCTGTTTAACACATTTTAATCACTTTTATAATTTGCTTTTATTTTCTGATATTTGTCTCTTTTATTTCTGTTTATGTAAAGCACTATAAATTGCCATTGTGTATAAAATGTCCTATATAAATAAACTTGCTTTGCTTTGCTAACAACGTACATAAAAGCCATCCATAATTCATATCCCTAACTTTATAACCTTTAACCAACCACAAGTTGTTGTTTTTTGTAGCTATTTTGCAAGTGCCTCAGCTTGTAGGGGCTTTTTATATTTTATTGTTAAACCAATTAAGATGATGATTATTAGGTGCTGATTATTATATGATGACTTATGTTCAGGATAATAATCAATTTCAGCACATTTTAAATGGACAACTCATGAGATCATATCTCTTCAGAAGACGTATATTAAACTAATAAAACTAACTTCTCTTAAAGCATTAGTGTTTGGGAAATAGAGTTTTAATGGACGAAGAAATATCTTTCAGGCTTCATTAAAATATGTTTGTTAAATACGCATGAAAATCTTATGAGCTTGAACATTTTTAATATCTAAAAAATATTTCAGTCCTCTTAAGAAAAAAAAAAGTGTTGTCACAATCACCAGTGATCCAGCCTATGCAGATTGCTGGTACACACTGTATTACATAGAAATCCACCATTAAATGGACTACAAGATCCAGTCATGTACCACTCACACACCTGGCCTAGATCCTCATGATTGCAGACAGACACAGCTGAAGCTACTTATGAACTGATTACTAGGACTATTTAAACAGCACAAACACACACATTGTTGATGAGTCTTGTTGAACAGTTTTGTGAACATTAAGACATATTTTCCTTGCCTTGTTTTGCCATATTTTTGACCTTTGTTTTGTTTGTTTATTTATGTCTGCTTCCTGCCTTTTGACCATCCGCCTGTGTATTTGACTAAAACTCTGGATTTGCCTACATTTATCTGTTTGCTCCTGATTGTGACTGTTGCTTGTCTGACCATCTCTACATAATAAACCCTGCGTTTGGATCCTCACTCCCTGTTGTCAGTGTCAATTCACATTACAGTTGTAATATTCAAACTTAACATAACATGTAAAGATGGTTGGTTTATACTTCATGGTAATATTTAAAAACATGTTTGCAGCTTTCTAACAGTCTTATAAACCCACCACAAACAAAATATACTTGTTAAATCTAGTTAAATAGAGGTTAGAACATGTACAAGACATCTCTGATATGGACTTCTGTATTAACAGTTTCTGTTGAAAATGTTACGTCAGTGCCCTCCTACAAACACCCACCTGCCCACCTACACACACATACACACTCACTCACTCACTTACTCTCTCTCTCCCTCTCTCTCTCTCTCTCACACACACACACACACACACACACACACACACACACACACACAAACACAGTCAGCTTAGCTCTGTCCTGAGACATAATCAAAGTGTGCTGCAGGAGCAGATGGAGGACTCAGTCATGCATGCACGTCTCACATGCTGCAACCACATGCACCCCGCCAGCAAATTAAAGCCTACATTAAAGACTATTAGCATCCACAATTGTTTGGGGTGTATTAAAAATAGACTAAAACACCCATTTGTTTATTAACCACAGAAATACACCCGGCAGACCCTCTGATGCTGATCTGAACTCAATGAATATCATTACTGCTTGATAGTGAGTTAAAGGCTGTTCATGCACAGTTCAGGGAGCATGAAATCAATCCCTCTCCATCTTGACAGGGACATATGCACTTGCAAAATTACTTTCCATTCTATCTATATAAGTCATGATGATATAGATTTATTGATGTTATTTCTGCATGTCTATGAATATTTTTAAATATAATTTTTTTCACTTTTTTCATTTTTTATATTATTTATTATTTATTTTTCATTCATTCATTCATTCATTCATTCATTCATTCATTCATTCAAATTAAATTATGTTATTAGGATCAGGGTTCTCACAACACGGTTAACTTCAAGTTTAAGGATCTTTCAAAGACTTTTCAGGTCTAACCCTCAAATTAAAGGACTTCAAGAGTGGACATATAAACAGATATGTATCAGCCGGCCACAAATAAAGACTCAGTAAGTGGACAAAACTAAAACAAGACCATTTCTTACAAGTTAAACTTTTGTACAAGGTTATTTATTTATTTATTTTAAAACAATGTTTTAAATATTTATTTATTAATTCTATTTACTTATTTACTTTACAGGAATAATACATGTCCCCGTTTACTTAATTATATTGTCTGTTCTTGTTTTCCTTTTTCATGTATTGTATAATTGTTTATTCATTATTAATGTAATGGACAATGCTCTGGCAATACTGTGCAAGTCATGCCAATGAAGATCAATTGAATTTGAGTGGGCATCTTTCAATCAAGAGCAAGGTTACATAGAACACATTGAGTTACAAAGTGCAACGTAGGTGGATACGAAGCAAAAGTGAAACCTGGAGTTTTGGCTTTGGATTTAAATATCCCTTCAATAGTTCACACTTAGCTGATGATTGATTATAAAGCGTGTTTGGCATGCTGTCCCGAGAGAGAGCCCTGAGCTCATAAGATCCTCAAGCCTGGGGCTCCCTCCCGTTTGCAAGGCAAGAGGGGAGTTTTAGCTCTGGTAGATCTCGAGAACTCCTCTGCTGTAGTAGCACAGATAGTAATTGCTGTTAAGAGATGACTACTTACTAGAAGCATGTCTATGGTGCCGATTTGGATTAGTCAATTATCTTAAGCTGCATGTTTTTGGACTGTGGGAGGAAACTGGGGAACCCGGGGGAAACCCACATGAGCACAGGGAGAACGTGTAAACTCTGCACAGAATCGTCGGCTGGCTTGATAAGGACTAGAACCAGTGATATTCTTGCTGTGAGGCAACAGTGCTAACCACTGGGCCACCGTGCCACCCATCTAAGAAAGGAGGATGAGTAGGGGTGGGAGGGGGAATTCTTTACAACGAAGATGGCTGTTATTTGGAACTTAGGGTATTTATAGTGGCTTAGGAATCATCTGATTGGTGAATCATAAATTAAATAATGCGAGGCTGCAAGCAATCACAAGCACGTGATCCTCTCAAAATTAGTTTATAAATAAACTTCACTTAAAATGGTGCATTCATGTTTACCTAAAACTGTTTCAGTTCAAGTACAATGACATGATATGTCTTAACTCATGATCTCATGATCACTCATACATGGCACTGGCAGCTGTATCGCTTCAGAATGCATTCATTAACCTGAGCTTTTGGAGGTTACAAAACACAGGGATTATTCAATGCCATTCCGATAATGGAAAGAACTTCAATAGCATAGTATATATATATATATATATATATATATATATATATATATATATATATATATATATATATATATATATATATATATATATATATATATATATATATATATATATATATACACTGTTTTCTTGCTGATTTAACGTTTCAACTTGCATCAATCAAAATGACTAAAAATATTAAGTTAAACTTTGCATAACTTAAAAATGTCATTACATTTTTTAAATGGCTGTTGAGCTACTGCTTTAGAGTACCAAAATTGTGCTTTTTTCAGATTTAACTCATGTAAATTGCATAATAAAAAGTCATTGTCTCCAAATATAAAGAAATGATTACACAATTTTAAGATATGCATAGTGCCTATGGTCATCACTAACTTTATGCAAACTTCATCTTCTCATGTATAACAGTAACAGATGAGGGCTGGAAGTGTTTGGTTCATGTTGTGGATGTTTTCGAGACCTCAAAACGTAGTCCACTTTGCCTGCTGAACTAAAGGATGAGGACTCAAATTGATGAGGTAAAATGGACACAACTGTTGCTGTGATGCTGATAAAGCTTCTGAAACTGAAATTCAGATTTTGTAAAAATTCATTTTTTGTTGAGATGTATTTGTTTTTCAGGTCACGTCAGTCTAAACAGTTTGACAAATCTGAGCAAAGTAGGCTGTCAAAGAAGATTAAGAGGCCCTGTTAAAACCAGGTTTTAAGATGTGTCTTACAGTTCACATCTGGTGTTTAATGTGTCTGTTTTGTCCACTTTTTTCTTGTCAACACACCAACAAATCAATGATAAAACACACAGTTTGGTAATAATATTTTTTAAAAATAAGACACAGTTAATACCTGAAGACATTTCTGAAGTAGTTAAGAGCCCCAGTGAGGGCCCCTGGCTGTGAGAGGGCATACAGGTAAGCTTCAAGGTCTTCTGTGGTGAGCCAGCGGCCCTTACAACTGATGCCTGTGCTGCGGCTGGTGAATAGACTCTTCAGTGCCTGTGAAAACACATTAGTGAGCGATGAGAAAGCTGAATAAGCTGAGTCAGAGTTTACATATACATTTATTCATTTAATAGACGCTTTTATCCAAAGCAACTAACAAATGAGGGTAAAAGAATCACTAGAGAGCAGCAACATATAGATGCCACAACAAGTTTAAGTTAGTCCAGCAGGTTTCATTTATTCATTATTTTAATTGATTGAGTCTTTGTACCTGAGTGTTTGTAGGAAAGTTTCTGGCGCATATAGAAGGAAAGAGTTGGTTTCCTACATGTGGTTTCTACTCACCGGCACAAAGCACACTTAGAATTGCACAATGTTTTCTCAGAAATCTGGAGTGTTTGTAAGGTGTCTGGTACATACTGAAGAAAAAAAAAAACGGTGTGTATCGTATATGTGGTTTGTCATGCCTACTCAATTACTCTTGAAGCATGCTCAGAATTGCACATTTCTCAGAAATATTAATTGTTTATAAGAAAGTGTCCAGTGCAAATACATAGGTAGTACTATTTCTTTTTGTACTTGACAACTAAATGCAGTTAAATATTGATCAAACAGATGCATCTTCATCTTCATTCTCTGGTCTTATTTTATATTAGGTGTACTTAGGGGCTTTCGAAATGGATAGAAATAGGAATTCGGTTATATGAACTAACCAGCAAAGTAATCTCCTGAGCACAACGTTTTCCCCAAGGCTCATTTTCCTGATTGCATTCGCATCAGCAATTGAAACAATTCAAAGTGACTTTAAGCAAAATCTTTTATGTGCAGCAGTAAACATGATTTGGGATAACAATATGCCATGATTGAAACTGGGTAACATTTTATTTTGATGTTCCATTTGAGTATTAGTAGACTGTCTGCTTAATATCTGTTGATACTGCTGCTAAACAGACATTTAACTGACTATAAGAAACTTTGCAAGTACATGTTAACTTACACTAACCCTAACCCCAACCTAAAAGTCTACTTATAATCTAATGAGAATTAGTTAGCATGTAGATGCAAGGTAACTTAAATTCAACAAACGGACCATCAAAATAAAGAGACATCTGAAAGTGTGTTTTTGATTTGGATTGTTTATTTTTATGATACCATAACATATAATTTATTTGATTAAAAGAGCTAATTTTAAAAAGAATAAGAGATGTAATCTGCAACAATAATTTGCTTTGTATATGTTTATGACATATAACTTTTTTTAGGTACTGGGCAAGTATTTTTAAGGCGTGAATACAAGAAGTAAAGAAGAGTTTCCAAGTAGAATGCATGATATCAATGATATAATCAACACACTAACACTAGTGACTGAGCGTCACGAGCTGATTCATAATGACTCGGTTGTGTGTGTTAAAGACAGATGGATAAACTTGGCCTCATGATTGACTCTGTATTAGTAATTCAGACACAAACAGATTTATGCTGGGCAGAAAAGCTGATCAACGGATGTAGTATAAACCAAATACAAAGTTGAAATATGATCTATAAAATGTATATGCTTGACAGCTTTCATGTCCACCTTATTCACAGCACCATCACTTTTATTTTCTGATTCTGATCATTTAACCTTTTGTAAAGGTCAAATGAATGAAATAAACCAAAAGGATGGGTCATTACAACACTTGATGTTGATTTTATCAGTCAGCTCTGTGTTATCAGTACTCTGTATTATCAAATAGTCTTCACACTAGTATTGCTCAGTTTATATTTGTTTACATACAATTACTTAACAGTACGATATCTTTGAAAGTAATTTCATGCTGTATGTATATGTATATATATATATATATATATATATATATATATATATATATATATATATATATATATATATAAATTAACTGTAAATTATAAATTTTTTAAACCTTGTTAAACTTTCTTCTTATTAAAGTGTTAATTTGGCAGTTCATAAATACATTTAATAAAATAAAGGTGATTTTTGGTTTGTTTTTGACCATAGTAACTGTCAATTGCTTGCTGTCAATTTTCATCATTATGAATCTGTATACTGAATAAAAGAAAACATATTAAAAAACAAACAACTTTGTAACATATTAAATCGATCTTACCTTAAAATCATTGATGGAAAGCATTAGCTCTGGGAAATATGGCAACTGGAAGAAAAAGTAGTAACTTGACTTGAGCATCTGACTTGGGTGTCGAAGGGCATAATCTAGGCAAAGAAGAGAAAAATGGAGAGAGAAAATTAAAAAAAATGACAAATAATATATCTAGGTTTCAATTAATTAAAAGTAAAATGCAACTACGACGATTTGTTTAAAAACATTCTTAATAATATGATTTTGTTTTGTTTTTGCATTACACGGATTTGGAAGTGTTTTTTGGAGAGCTATCCCTTTATCCATTGTAAAATGCCTTTGAGCAACACTTCTAAGCACATAGCTCATAGATAAAATGCCAATAAATGCTTAATAATGAAAGCATGCTTTTGAATTAATGAGTGAAATGATTGCTTCTTGGCAGTCTTCTTAAAATCATTTGTATTCTGGCGTGGTGCACTGTGCGGCTGACACACATTTTTGCTCCCGGGGACTACACTCAGAAAAGCTCATTTTCATTTTTAATTTTCATCGACAATTATGCTCTTCTGTTAGTGAATAAACCTAAACAAATGATAAACGTTTTTCAAGATAAAGCAAAAACAGACATTTTGTATATCGTCACCTTAGAATTACAAGGCTTTTTGTCAGATTATTGACATATTCTAACTAAATGACAACTTATTTACATTATGGGATGCTTTTTATAAGTTGTTTACATTTTAAGACTGTAAAAATGACAACCAAAAATAAAAATTTTGTTGCTAATTACTCACCCTCATATTTTTCTAATGCATTTTTGATGAAACTGGAGAGCTCCCTCAACCTCCATAGACAATGGTCCAAAGACATTAAAAGTTTATAGAAGGAACCAAAAACATTGTCAAATAGGGTGCAGACGGTCAGTCATTGGGTAATGTTGGGCCATTGGTGAGTATCTGGCAGGCTAGTTTGTTTGGTGTGTTCCATATTTTGTTTCTCATCAGGTTAACATTGAAGAAAGTCAGCCCAATTCAGATAGTAAAATCGGCATTTCTTCATTGGTGAAAGAGAGTGCTATAATTGGTTTTTTAGTAATGAATCAGAGAACAAGAGCAAAAACTGAAGTGACAAAACTAATCAAATGGTTCAAGTTAAGTTTATGGTTTGTAAATGCAAATGACAGGTTCTAGTTTTGTCGTGGTTCTTGGCTTTTCTCTTAATGAATCAAACTAAGTCTGGAGTTTAAAAAAAAAAAAAAAAAACAGAGACAGAACAAACCCATCTCAGTCTCTCCCCAGGACAAATCCAGAGTGTCTGTGTTCTTCAAAATATTTATACAGATTTTCTCTCCCCACTCTCATTGTAACTCTTTTCTCTTTACTGGGGGGTTCATCTTAAGGTGCTCACGTTATTCTGGGCCCTGTTCCCTACAATGCAAACAACTGTTTTCACATCAGAGTTCTCTCTTCATAGATTCAATCTCGTCTGAGTGTTTACATACATTGGCATGGTACATTAATGTCATAATATGTCACTCATTCTCTTGAAAGCCTCTTACAGTTATAACTTCATATGTGTGTTTTACATACACATTGTTTTACAAATAAACTCATTCTCCAGCAGTTCCAAACAATAATGACCTCACACCAGTTGTCACCTTTCTTCACAAAATACACCACCAGTTGTTGCCCTTTTTCCTCAAAATACATGTCTAAGCATCTCTAGGTGGTTATATAGGTTGACATCTTCATTGCACACTTATAAAGAATAAAAAAAAATCTTCATTAGTTTCCCTTTGTAAAATGAGAAAACAGATTACTTCCCCTTGCACATGCTGAATGATACATCCTCTCATTCAGGTGCAAAATGTGTGCTGTCATTTCAGTCAGCTGTAGATCATTTGGTGTGTTTCAAGAGTTTGCACTTATATATTGTTTGACAACTGTTAGCAGGTTTGGCATGCTGTCCCGGGAGAGATCTCTGAGGTCGGAGATAGTTGAGCCCAGGGCTCCCGCCTGGTCCATTGAGCATGTGAGGGGACTACGAGATCTGGTGGTTCTTAAGAGCTCCCCGTAGTAAAGGAGGAAAGGAGGAGAAGGGGTAGATGGGGGGTTTCATTGGAAAACGAAGATAAGAGAGTAGTACTTATACTGAGTTTGGATTATTCTGATTTGCTAACTACTGAATGTAGATGGGTGGCCAGCTGCAGTCAATCATATCATGTGCTCCTCTCGAAGTTAGTTTGTGAAACTTCAGTTATGGGTAGCTTTTTTGGTCCGTATGGAACGGGACAGGGCTGATGCAAAGCCATGCCTTAAGAGAAAGTTTTGTAAGCAAAAAAAAAAAAAAAAAAAAAAGAATGCTTCACAAGCGAGGAAATAGATCTGCAACATTTTTCATATAAAGATGTCTGTGTGCTGCTGCGCATTTGTGAGTGTGTAATATGCAATGTGTATTGTGCACCCACCTAAAGGCATATCACTAGCACAATCTTAAAAAAAACTGCACCATTGACTTTACATTATATTCCACATTTCATATTATATTTCAATTTCCTCAAATAGCAATGCCAACAATCCACCTTAACACACCTTCTTTTTACATCAGCATGTGCACGGGCACATAAATAGGCACACATTCATTTGCTATTTAAACAACCTGGATTCAAAAATGATAGCTGTGCCTGCTGAAACTAGCAAAAAACACTTGTGTCGTGTAAATGATAGGGCTTATGAAATGTTTTGACAATGTTTTTAGTTCTGTACTTTTCTGTACTTTGAACATCTCAGGAGCGTTGAAGTCTTTTGAGGATGATGGAACGCTCCAATCTCATCAAAAATATCTTAATTTGTCTTCTGAAGATGAACTAAAGATCTAAAGGGATTGGTATGACTTGAGGGTGAGTAACTAATAACAGAATTTTCATTTTCTTTGGGTGAACAACCTTTTAATGTTTTTTTTCTTTATGATAAAACTGATATCCCAGCTAGCAAAATTTATGTGGCTCCGTTCCTGTTTGCCAGATCTGGGCCACAATTAAGCCATAGCAATATCACATTTCAGCCAGACTTTAACCAAATGAATTCTATTCTGGGCCACAGTTTGCTTTTATTCTGGCCCAGATCCAGCCCACACCAGACACTTACATCTGAACCACAAACTGAATGAAATTATTGCTCTAGGGTGGTCCGCTCCTGTTTGTCAGATCTGGGCCAAAAATAAGCCAAAGCAAAACCACATATCAGCTAGATTTCAACCAAATGAACCAGAACTGACCCTATTCTGGCCCAAATCTGGCCTACACTTTACACTTGCTGGATGTGGCAAAGTACAAAATTCCCAGCATGCACTGCAGCATGAATACATTCTATATGCTACAGTTTTCATTCTTTGCTGTTAATTCTGCTGTTTATGTTGACATTGATTTTGTCACTTTTAGCATCCTTTTTGTGATGTTTGTGGGTTTTGTTTATTTTGTTAATTGCCACTGTTGTTGAGGTTCATACGCTGATTATTGAAGTCTCTGTGAGCAGAAGTTGAACCATAGAACTTTTTTTAGCTTATAAAACCTTCATAACTCGGTGGCATGTGCAAGCATGTTATTACAATACTTCTAATAATGGATTAAACATTGGTTAACATCAGTGAATTATGTTTTTTCATCACAGGTTGTGCCTCACTCAATTTTATTATTATTTATTTAATTATATATATTTTTTACTTAGCTGTAATGAATAAACTTTTTAAGCAAAGTTCTTAAAAGTTACAGCAGCCCAAAAGAAAATTTATATTAAAAAGTTCAGGGCTATCTTGCCAACTTTGGCCTACATTTGTCCTCCATCATTTGGGCCAAATTTATATTTTTCCACATGGGCCACATTAGGCTTACATTCACATTACATTTTGCCATACGTGACAAATCTTTGCCTTAAATGGTCCATATATGAATTTGAATCTTTGGCCCCCTTTTGCTATTGTACATGTGCATGGGCCACTTCAGGCTCACATTTATTTTGTCTGGGCCAAAGGAATACCACCAGTGCCGCATAACTGCCTAAAGTGGCCCACATTCATATCTTTGATAAGCCAAACTCTGTTATATTGCAGTTAGTTTTCATTATCAGTCTTTAACAGTATTTTTCTTGCAGTGTTGTCTCTAGGCAATGGATGTTTCAGTAATGAGATCTATTTGTAAAAGAACATTGAATCAGATGGTTCATAAAACATGCAAAAGATTGTTAAAACTGAAGAAACCCCATTTAGCTGAGAAAAATTCCAAAAGAACAAGAAAGTCATGTAAGTGTCACTCTTGGCGGGTACTAAGTGTTATTATAAGAGGGTACCGTGTCTCTGCCAGAAGCCCACATGTAATTACCTGCTCCTCCAGGCTGGTGCACACCAGACAGATGGAGGGCAAAGCCCCATTATTCTCTGAGCCTAACCACAATATTTCACTGTGAATGATGCAGGTCATACTAATGAGCCCTAAAACCAAACCAGAGCCTTCGGGGCTGATATGATAGAACAGGTCTGATTGTCAGATGTATGGGGCACTTACCAGTGAATACACAGGGGTGAGGGCTGTTCAGCACTATGAGTTTTGTCACCATTTCAGGGTAGTGAATTGCACAGAGCCATGCGATGATGCCACCCCAGTCATGGCCCACGAGAAAACATCTGTTGTATCCTGAGGAAAGGATCAGATGGAGGAAGCTGAAATGTTTGTGTCTGAGTTATGTATGTATGCCTCAAAATTAATGGAGTAAGTGAGAAACAAGACAGAAAGTGATAGCGAAAACAGTATAAAGTCATATTTTACAAATAAGCACCGGCCAATGTGTTCTTACCTAACAATCATAATCACAACACATATAAAAAAGAAAGTGTGGTCAAACTGTGCATTTTCATGTTCATTTTTATGTAGTATTTCAAGCTTTCATGTTTCCTTTGTTTTATTCATTAAAAATGTTTCCATAGTAACTGGTTATATTGTTCAACTGTCTCTCATTTAGTTTACTTTACTTTCTTTATTGTCCACAATTGGAAATTTATCTTTGGCTTCACCACACAAAACGGAAATATGGCTATTATTTATGTGATTTTTGTCATTCATAACTGAATGTGGAGAGACAAGAAATAATAACAAACTTATAGTAGACAGACAGTTAAGTGTGAATGTGTGCATGTTTTCGAATGAAATAGAAGTTGAAAATAAATTTTTATCTGCAAGTAGTTTAAATTGGTTTCAAAAAGTACTTTAGTTGTTGTACTTTCTGTTGTTTGTTCATGTTAAATAATTTATTTAAACAAAAAGAACCATTACCAGCCCATATATTTTAAAATCTTTATTCCCAGAAAGTCTTTGTTATAGCCACTAACACAGTCAGTTTATCTTAAATAACATTTAATTATACGTTACAGTGATGTAACTAAAATCCGAAAAGTTTTTCTTTCCATTAAAAAATTAGTTTGAAGTGTTAACACTAGCAAAACAATTCTCGTTCACACACATCTGTGCAAATGATTAAAAACTTAGTAGCTGGCGATGTCACATTTGTTTACAAACAAATGTATTTATTTATTTATTCATTCATTCGTTTATTTATCTGTTTATTTAAGAAATATTCACATCTGGTGTTCCAATTTGAACGTCAAAATGTTTATTCAAATTGGAACTGTGGCATGCTATTTTAAAAATACAAGTTTGAATACAGCTTGCATCATTTTCTAATCTTAAAGGGCCAATAAAGATTTCTTTATTTTTAGTTTATGCTTTTTCTTTTTTCATTACCCTGTGGTTCCTTATTGTGCTACATTTCTAGTACATCTGACCTGTGAATCCAGCTCATGTAATATATGTAATCAAGCAGGACATTTAGCAAATGCAGTCAGTGTGGTGATTTTAAAACAACAAAGAAAATGTCTGACATGCTTTTATTTGTATGCTTCAAATTGTTAGCCTGGGGTGCGTTTCCCAAACAAGGACATACAGTAAATCGCTGCTGAACTATCATAGTACGATGCATCGTTCGGGAAAAGAACGATGTAGTGAAGAGTGTTTACCAAAACCGTAGTGGTTCTGTTGCAGATCTATCATTTTAACCACGTTAGTTATAACGTAAAACATCCATAATGATACTCTAAACAGGGTGGAGTAACAACTTCTTTGGAGAAGAACCCTATCATTTCTTTGTGCAAATTATATTGTTTAACACGCATTAAAAAAATAAAATCCAATATTGGTTTTGTTAAAAACATGCACTCGTTTTCCATATTAATTAAATTATTTGTAAATGGCACATATAGAGCCTTTGTTTCCTTTACATATATTATTGAGAATATTCCACATTCTATTCTAAAACATAAAATCACTTACAAAAGCTAACATGTATTCTAATATCATATATAAATCATATAAATAAAAAAATAAAAAAATAAATAAGGAGGCTATTTATTAAGAAATGAAATGTAATATTTACTTGTCAGAAAACTAATCCTACTTTAATAATAATAATAATAATAATAATGATTAGGATAATGATTATTATTTTTTATTATTATTATAGAAGGAAATTGTTTATTTATTTATTTATTTATTTATTTATTTATTTATTTATTTATTTTAAGTCTACTTTTACAGTTTGACACATGCAAACCACTGCAGAAATGTTCTAACCAACAGGCTCATGTCATATACATAAAAGATACTTAATGCTATGTTTTTTTTTATTTTCACAAGCTTTGGAGACGTAACGTAAATTCCACTTTTGAATAATAGGTCACCTATAGCTTTCGTCATGAGCTACGGCTGTGTTCAAAATACCATTTTTGTTTTCAAATCGCACTTGTAAACATGAAGATCACTAAAACTGAAATGTAAAAATACTTTAAAAGCAAATTACACTTAAGAGAGATTACTTTAATGCTTTTTTAAAATTATTCCAAGTTTAAATATTAGAATGTTCTAAATAAATAGGGCATAGAGGGGGTAACTGGGAAAAGAACACAGCCAGGAACTATGCTTCTAACTACAGCTCCAGAGGTGTAGTTGCAAGCATACAAGTTTGTGATGCAGTTTGCAAATGTTCATTAAATGACAGATTTGGGAAACAACAAATCAGTGAACTAAATTTGTAATGACAGAACTTGAAACTTTAGTTGGCTAACGATGGTTTTCGGAAATGCAGCCCTGGTTTGTATATGTAGCCTCCATGTATGTCTATAATCATTCTCTCCTATGGTCAAACCATTTTTTCAAGATGTTTAGAACAATGTCTTCATCAGTAACTTTATAGTTATCATGATTTATGTGATCAGCTCTTAGTCATAGACCATTTCTTAATTCATGGCTACAATATTTAGTTTGTTTCCATATATTTCTATGTAATCTCAAATAATCATTTCATTTTTAACAATATAAAACAGACGCCAATGATATTGTTTGTTGGAGGATCTTTTGCAAAATGTTTGTGTCTTTATATATATATATATATATATATATACATTCTATTTTTGTAATAATATCACACCGCAGTTCATTTAGTGTCATATCAAGGACTGACTAAGGATGAATGACACCGTTGCTGTGAGGCAGGGTGAATGTTTCCATTGTCTGCAATAGACTGATTCCAATGTCAAGGAGCTGAGGCCCTGGAGCAAGACATCATCATGAATCCTAATAACATGTCATTGACGGCCTGTCATAATACAGCACCAGTCACTTACGCAGCGAGCAGACAGATGGGTTTACTTTTAACATGATACCATATATATGTTATGGAATCTTACTATAACCCAGCTTAACTAATGACAGTGTATTGGAAATCGAGAAAGTAGAAATACTTTATTTTTAAGCAGCTTAAACTGGCAATATGTATCTTAAAAAGCCAAGGACATCTGCAAACATATACTTTAAATTAGTTTAACACCACTATTGTTTGTTTTATTGAAGAAAAAATGTTACCATACATCAATGATCAGAAGCAACATGCACCACTCACACATATGCACTTCTCAGGCTAAACAAATTATGATATTCCAAATATCCACATATGCATATAATTACCCAACATTATTAAATTAATGTATAAAAAAAATCACAGGAGGGCTAATCATTTTGCCTTCAACTGTATGTGTATATATATATATTTCATTTTTACAGCATATTGTATTTCTATATAGTATTCATCTACTATTCACACTGTATAAAGAGCTCAGCAACTGTGTGTTTTGAAATCTACAGACAGTTCATTAGGCTTCATTTTAAGCAGCCCAAACTGATGTCAACACGTGTCTAAAAAAGCCAAGGGCATCTGAATGGGTCACCTTCACATTACAGACTATTGGGAGGAGCGCTACATTAGCATTCACCACTACAACAGCCTTATCAAAAGCTCCAGACAGGCTGGGATGTGGAAATGGAAATAGGGCTGAGATAATGGAGCCAGTCTGTTCTTACCCAGATACTCCACAATGTCCTTGATGTCGGTGACAAGGTAGTCCAGTCTGTAGCTCTCAGTGGACGAGGGCAGGTCAGACTCACCGTAGCCTCGCATATCCACTGCTACCACGCGAAACTCACTCTTAAATTCCCTGAGCTGGTGACGCCATGAGAACCTAACAAAAAAATCAATTAAAGAAATAAGGGATAAAGATTTAAGATGATTTCAACAGGGTACTGGTATAAATAACTGAATATGTTTGCTACTCATTTTAGACATAAGTCATTCCTCAGTTTGCTTTTTACATTTACATTTTGTTTTATAAAATAATAAATAACTATGGAGTTAAAAATATTCCAAAACAATCTGAATTGTGTTAATTTGAATTATTGACAATAACTTTAGGGGTTTTCACCTTTATTTTATAAGACAGTAGAGAAAATTGACAGGAAAGCATGGGGAGCAGAGAGAGGAGAAGGATCGGCGTAGGACCGCAAGGCGGAATCAAACTCAGGTCACCGTACTAACCACTACACCACTAGCGCCGACACAATTGTAATTTAATAAATCAGATTTTTTTATATGCCATTAAAGGTTTTTTAATTTGAATTTTGTTTTATTAGAATTTTTAAATTTGAATTTAAATTTCATAAATTGAATATTGAACATCTGAAATTGAAGACAACTAAATTTTTTCAGGCTGAATTTTTTAGATGTATTTTTAAACTTTTTTGTGTTTTGTGTTTTGTGTTTTGAATTCACAGACTGCAGAGATCTAGTTTGTAAAAATACAGTTTCAAGTTTTCAAGATGAAGAAATTCAGAACATCAAATTCTAAACCAGAAATTCAGATCGTCAAATTCAGATTCAGCAGAAAGTATGTCAGGGGTCATCAACAGGGCAGAGTAGACGATCAGACAACGGCTAGACGACGGGTGCTGGGAGTTTGTGAAAGCATATAAAAATAGTAATAAATATATAAATAGCAAATTTCAATTTTATACACTATTATTCAAAAGGTTGCAGTCACTACAAATATTTAATATTTTAATAAATTAATAATCTTTAAGGTATTTCTATTTCAAATCAATTTTAATTTCAGACTTAACAGTAGGCTATTTTTGTCATTGATCTACAGTTATAATCAACTCATGTTTATAGAAAAGTTATAAAATGTTTAAAGTAATAAACATTTATACAGAAGTATTTATGTGTATAAAGCAACTGTTTTGTGAGAAGTGCTTCTCATATGATTTGTAAACGACCTGTACAGCTTTACTGTAGACATTTTCTCGAGCGAAAATTACGTCTACTGAAACCTTCTGTCATACACCACGCCCACCAAAAGGGTACCCTTGGTAGTGGAAATGCAAGCCTGATAAAGGTGACCCGTACCGACCTGAACCATACCGTACTGTACCAGTCAGTGAAAACGAGCCATTTGATACTTAGCATCCTTACAATTCTTTTTCTCATTGCCTAATATGATTATTTGTATCAGTATTTAATCTTGAAATGATTTTGACTAATGAATAAAGTTAAGAAATTGTTTAATATAAGAACGTTCAGTGCATTTACCTATTATGTAACTATTTTCAGGAGCAATCAAACCAGTTCAGAGGTCATGGAGACTTCATGAGTGGAACTGAAGGGCTTGATGATTGAAAACAACTCCTTTCCTGTGTGTTAATACTGTCTAAAGTGATTTCGAAATTATTATTATGTGTTAATTCTGTTTAAAATGATTTTCCTTTTATTCAAGATAGACTTTGTGTTGTGAAAATATAGCAGCCTGAATGTAGATTATACCAGTTTTTAACCAGTTTTGATATAGATGGCTGAGAGTATCAGCCTTGCGTAAGAAACAGATTGCACTTTGAGTGTGTGAGTGTGTGTGTGTTCTATTCGATTGTGGATCCTTTCACAAGTCTGGGGTCAGCTTTTAACAGCTTAGTGGATGTCTGACGTTTATATGCTCGAGATATTGAGATATCGTTCCGAATTGTACACATTGCACCCACGAGGAAATTTTCCTAGTCTATCTGTGTTTAACTATCAGGTTATAACACCTATATGTATGACACAGTTAATGACATTATGTAAGAGTAAAATTGTTGTTGATGTATGATTGTAAGCAGAGTGGCCTACAAACTCAGACGAGTGTTGAAGTTGGAAACTGCAAATTATCTCCAGTAAACTTTATTTATTTGACTCTCTGACTCTCTCTCTCTTCTTCATCTGACAGACTGGTCATTTTTGGGTGCAATCTGATATTCCATAAATATTCCAACAATGTTAAAACAACGTATACCTTGCTTTGAAAATAGGCTCATCTTCACTTGAGTTTAACCCATTTTGAATTCATTCAACTGATCTCTGGGTGTAGTGGAAGCACTTTTAGCTTAGCTTAGCATAGATTATTGAATTAGATTAGACCATTAGCATTTCATTAAAAAATTACCACAGAGTTTTGATCATTTTTGGAGTGTCTGAAATTAGGCCTCACACAGGACCAAGCCTTATTTGCAGATCCAGTTAGAATCTGCATAATATTACTGTTTCTAATGCAGCCATAGTTGGACATTTCATAGGCTTATCAGCTTAGAAAAAAGCATCTTTTGGTTTTCCATTGGTCAATATCACTACAGAAGAGTCAAACTTTAAATAGAAAAATTATTTAAACTTTTTTGTCATTTTTGAGCGAGATGCTAATGGTCTAATCTGATTCAATGATCTATGCTAAGCTAAGCTAAAAGTGCTCCCACCAAACTTGAATGGATTAAATAAATGCTTAAACTCATCTGTTTAACTATAGAAATGTTGTAAAAAAATAGCAAAGTGAAGTGTTCCAATAAAATGGAGAGCTTAGTTTAATATTTTCTTAATTGTTTTTTTTAAAAAGGGAAATATTTAGATAATGTGGACACCAGTTGTAACCATATTGGCCAATTGCTAGCACTTTAATAGCATTGAAACAGCTGAATGAATATGATTATTAATAAATGTAAGCATCATATAACTATGTTAACACATAATTGATTCAGTTGAATTATAATAGCACACTGGTAAAACTCCCTATTTGCCAATTGAGCCTTTAAAGGTTGTTAAAAAAAATAGAAAGCTGAAAAAAGCAGAAGTCAGCCTGAGTATGATTTTGTTGAGTCAGTTGCAGCAGAAGCTCCCAGGACCCAAACCCAATATGCTAGAATATAAATGAGCTCGAAATTAATGTGCACACACACACATATCCTTTACTCGAACCTTCATGTTTCCCTTTTGCTCAGCAGTGAGCGAAACCATTGACTTGCACTTTTTGAATGCACCAAACTAAAGTGGAGCAGAAGTCAGAGGAAAGGGGCGTCCTCCAGGTCTCCTCTACACTCGTTCAAGGGTTCATCACTGATTCTGGAGCAGTAGATTGGCCAGTGAAGCAGAAAGAAGCCATGCCACTTTAATTAGGCACAGCCCTGTCCTGACCGCAGCTCTGCAGTCTGGCAGCTCACTGAAACGACAGCTTCACACTAGTCCCGGGACAGTCTTAATGTCACCACAGTCCGTATCACATTTCAGAACAGTAATACAATATACAATATACAGGCCATTTTAATTATCTTAACAATTATACAGCACCTCTAAAGAGGATTGTGAACTGACACTTGCCAGGTAATAACTGCTAGTAAAAACATTTTTATTATTTTTTTTTATCTTTGTAATTAATTCTAACAATGCTTTAGTATGTAATCAAGTTGAACATGAACATAAACATGCTATGACAGCACCTGATAAAGGGAATAAGCTGAAGAAAAGAAAGTGAGAGAGTGAGTGAGTAATCTGTTGGGCAGCTATTGATGTATTTACATTAGCAGCTAAGAACTGCACAACATGCGTTTTCCACAGGTTTTCTAACAGAATGGATACTCATTTAAAATTTAAAGGGAACCGATGATGAAAATCATATTTTGTAAGCTGTTTGGACAGAACTGTGTCCAGGTATAGTGTGTCCACAGGATCCAAAATCCCTCTCATTTTGATGCCCACTGCAGCGTGACAAAGGAGTGCAGTTTTCCTGACCACCCATTTGATTGACAGATGGGTATTAACATGTCTCCATAGTAGTGCGTATAATCGTGTCCACAAGACAGGACATGAGCAAAGCAACTGGGAATAAAAGATCTGTTCAGCTCTCTGTGATCATCTGCACCTCAAGAGTGAGTTTTACAAGTTTAACACATTTTTAAAACAGTGGATATACATGTTATAAATACAGTAAAATTGCTACGTAATTCATCACCTCAGCCGCATGTCAGTACAATTATAAAAATGATGCTTCAAATCCAGTTTCAGGTGAATTAGGTTTATTTTGTACATTAACATAATGAATAACAATACAGCAGTGGATATTAATGTGTATGCTGTCACATTTGTGCAAAAACTGTGCAAAGCTAAACGTGTGTGTGGGTTGTGTGTGCACACGTGCATGCACGCAAACTTTATAATGACATTGTGTGTGTGACTCATCGTTGCAGAAAGGCTTGAATTAAGTCCACAACAAATATATCAAATAACTGTTGGGGAAGGCCTTACTGTAATTAGGGTGATCTGCTTTATTCTTATCTGTCACTGTGCTGTTTATCTATGTGAAGGCTACATGAGCGATCTCTGTGGCTCTGACACACATGTGGAAATGGTGGGCAGGGAGAACCAGCTCATTTGCATTACAGCCACAGGCAACAAAAAACAGTTTCAATGTCTTATGAGCTCAAATTTCACAGATTTAAAAAGGTATAATAAATAATCTGATGGGTGTTTTGAGCTAAAACTTTACAAACTCATTCTGGAGACACCAAAGACTTATCTTAAATTTTGAAAAAGGGCTAAAATTGGTGCCCTTTAATAGTGATTTTAGAAAAGAAAAATATAAACATTAGTTTTGTAATCTTACAGTAAAAATAATAATAACAATAATAATAAAAATATTTGTTTAGTTTTTATAAACTTGATTAATATTAGTACATTTTTTAATAAATTTCAATTATTATTATTATTTTATTAATAATAATAATATTAGTAGTAGTAATATTGTTATGATAATTTACATTTATTATATTAAAGTTAAACAAACAAACATTTGGATTGATACAACAAATAAACGGCTGTCGTGAAAATAACTATGACTGAAAAACTTCTCAAGTAACCACCCATTGCAATCAATAAAACATATTTGATTATATGAATTTTGTTTTTACATAATTTAAGATTGTTTATGATAAATTATTATATTTTTAACACCTAATGAAAAAAATGTCAGCCTAATTTACATAGTTATATAGCCATAATGTTTGAAGCTTTATTCTAAATTCTTTCATGAATGCTTACTTTTACAGGCTTATATCAACTGATAATCTTTTGTAAATAAAAAAAAAACAAGTTTAAGAAAATGTGTCAACAAATTTGCAAACAAGCCTACATGAATGTGTTCAAAAAAAAAGTTTTTAAAAAATGTTCGAAGTTTTACAAATATTACTTTTGTAATCTTTCTGTTTAAATAATAATAATAATCATGTGTTCAATTTATTTTGATAAATTTTATTAAATAATAGCAAACTGTTATTATATGCATTACAATTATTAATTATTAGTATTATTAGAACTTTAAAAAGTATAATATTATAGTTAAACAAACAAGCAAACATTTTGATGTTACAACAAATAAACTGCTGTCATGAATATATGTATGACTAAAAATGAAGTTCAGATGCAAAAACCTCAAAGCGCCTTCTGAAATTTTCTTCTGAAATTACAATTTTTTTTTCAGTCGCCTATATTTATTTTGAGTTATTTTACATAAAAGACAATTAAAATAATATATTCTTTGCCATAAAAGTGAAATTACTGGACCAGCACTCAGGAGTCTAAGAAATTAATTTTCATTTTAGAAGACTACTTCTGAGATTTTTTCTTTTGCATCTGAACTCTTCAAATGTTCAAGTCACCACCCATTGTATTGGTATCCTTCACTGAGAATTATTAGATTATATCATTTTATTTCTATTGTTAAATTTATATTATAATTTATTTATGATATATATATATATATATATATATATATATATATATATATATATATATATATATATACACACACACACACACACACACACACACACACACACACACACACACACACACACAGACACACACACACACACACACACACACACACACACACAACACCTAAACATCTTTTAAACTTAATGTAAAGTACAACCTTTCATTTACAGCCTTGCATCACTCAGAATATTTAATAAATTTAGGGGAAAAAATTATCAAATGTTTGTCTGTGGATTTGCCTACAAAAATCTTCACACATTAATGTGTTGGAATAAATGAGAGAATACATGAATAAGTTTGTCTGACATTATCTTTGACTTTATGTGTATAATATGGACTGATTCCACAACAACCTAATTGTGATCTGTGCCTGGCAGCATCCCAAGTGTTTGTGTATGCGAGTGTGTTTAAGTCTCACCAAAACTCTGGGAATCCATGCAGAAACAGCATAAGCGGTTTGCCTCGTTCCCCAGCAGCAACATAGTGAAATCGGAGTCCAGACTCCTAAAAGCATACAAAGACCAGAGGCAGTCACTGTAAACTGAGAATATGATAAACGCAGCCCAGTCTCTTTAATCACACAGGCCTGTCCATCCTGATGTAAAATCCATTCTCACATCACTCTCTGTTTGATAGAGCTATAAAAAAAGACTTCTGTCCGCAGGCTTCAGCTGATATTAAAGCAATATCTTCCACTGACATTTACGGGGGAAATTCATACGCAGTTAAACGACAGCCTTGCATCAAATCGCATGTGATACTATCCTCGGGTTATATGGCTACTTCAAGTACTTTTTTTGCGAAGGCTACATTTCTAAAAGTTTGAATCCAAACACAATAAAAATATATCTCACAAAATACATAATCACAGATTATAAACAAGCTCTTAGATATTATTAAACTTAATTAAATACACATAAAATAATTTATTCATAAATCCAATATGTTAGGATTCTGGTTATATTATACATTTTTGTTCACCTCTAAAGCAATTTCTGGAGGGCAACAGCTCTGCACAGATTAGCTCCAACCACCTCCAACTCACACCTGCTTAATAGTCGCTAGTAGTCTTGAACACCTTGATTAGTTGGATCAGCTGTGTTTGATTAGGGTTAGAGCAAAACTGTGCAGAGCTGCAGCTCTCCAGAAATCCAGTTTGAGATATAGGCCTTAAAGGGACAGTTCACCCAGTAATGAAATGGTTCACAGTAGTACATACTCACTCACAAGTGGTTCAAATGTTTAAAATGCAGATATGCTGAAGAAATTTAGTAATCATTGACATCCATAGTAGGAAAAAAAAATTTAGAAGTCACAAGTTACAGATTTCTAGCTTTTTTTTTTTTTATATATCTTCTTTTATGTTCAACAGAAAAAAGAAAGGGAAGCAGGTTTGGGACAAGCTGAATCAATTATGACAGAATTTTCAGTTTTGGGTGAACTATCCCTTCAAACATAGGTCCTAAACTCAATTCCTAGAAGGTAAAGTCTAGATCGGATATGCGACTGGCAGGAAGTGTGATTTGCATAGCATCATTTTTTATGACACTGTATAACAATAATCAATATTTTTACAGTAACGTGACAGTTGGGTTTAGGGTTGGGGTAGGCATTCAAAACACAATTTATTGGGTAATTCAATAGATAGCATGAATAATACTTGGTACAACTATTGTTTTTACATTACTGTGATGGTTAGGTTTAGAGTTGGGGTGGGTGATAGATGTTGATAAAATACAATAAATGGGAAATTTAATAAATAATATAAATGATTCTCGCTAACTCTCACCCGCAACCGTATCTGATCTAGCAACAACCTTCCTGCAGAACAGTTTTTCTCCAACCCCATTCTAACACAGCAGATCCAACTGATTAAGGGGTTCAGTAGTCTTGAACTCCTTGATTAGTTGGATCAGGCGTGTCTGCTTAGGTTTGGAGCAAAGGTGTACAGAGCAGTGGCCCTCCAGGAATTGATATTACTTTTACATAAAGGTCATAGGTTAATATCAGATTTTAGTTTTTAGAACCGGTCCCTTAATGTTAATGTCTGCAGGCCAATTCTTAGTCCCCCCCCCACATGTCCTTATATAAGTTACTAAAGGGTTATGAACTTTGAAACCAAACTTGAAACCAAGCTGTTTTCAAGTCTAAGACTTTAAAAGATGCTTCTTTTTTAGAATAAGCTGCAGAATCAGAATGCCTGATGTCTTAGCACTTTGTTCAAAGCTCTGCATGTCTATTTACACATCACAGCTATCTTGAGACTGCCAAATGAACAGTTTTCAGCACCTACAGCGTGGAAGGTGAAGTCCGGGCTACAAATATTGCTTTGTGGGAAGCTGATCAGTCGCTGTCTACCCAAATAGTGCTGAAATGAGGTTTAGTGATGGAAAAAAAGGAAAACTTATGATCAAAGAAATAGTTCCTATAAAAAAATCTAATTAAAACATAAATATAATTTTCTTTTTTTATGATTGGATTTTTTTTACATTTACTGTATAATAAAAAATACAAATGAATAAATAGGTATACATTAGTTTTTAAAATGTCTTCTTTTATATTCAACAGAAAAAAAGTGATATGATTTGGAATGGCATGATGAATGCTAAAAATATATGTTAACAATATAAAAACATCATAGAAGTATGACAATAAAGAACCTGCATTTTAAAGATTAAAGGGTGAGTAAATAAAAATGTTCACTAAGCTTTCACATCAATGGCATTAGTTCAGCCTGAGACTTTTGTGTTTGTTTTTTTTTCCTTTTGTTCCTTATTGAAATAAAATGAAATGAAGCTGTATGATCTTAAAACAATATACGCCATCAAATGTTTATAATTTACCAAACTATTTCTTTTTATGCATAGTCAATTTTGTAAAAATAATAATAACAATAAAAAAATGTTTTTGTTGTTGTTATCAGTTTTTTTTTTTTCCTGAGACTGTAAACTTCCTATTTCAAAGAAATAAAACTGAGAACTCCTGAGCTAAATATGAGCAAATAAATCCTTTGGGTAAAATTGAAGGGCAAAATTATATTTTCAAACATTGTCAAGCAATTTCTTACCTTGATTCTAACATAACAGTGGGTTCCCAAGGACGTGTCATTCAGGCACGAGGGGGGAATCTCACGAACCGTCCACTGAAAGGTTGTTGACGGTCGCAGGATGATATTCCAGCCAAGTTTGATCAGCGCTACGCCCGTGCATAACGCGCAGTATCCATAGATGAGAGACCAGTATCCCATCACTCTGATCTTCAGCGTCAGCCCGACTGTCAACAACAGCAAGTTATGGAGCAGTCTCGCCATCTTTACATTACTGCGGGGATACGCTTGTTGATCACGGCTTCTATTGATCTGTTTACGCCTGCTTCTTAAGAACGGCGCGCATCATAATAGCCCCGACGCATCGTCACGAGCGCATCCCGACCGGGGAGGATCCCTGTGTAGACGGTACGGAGTCGCGCTTACGTATGAAGGGAGAGATGCTCAGTCCCAAAGGTGATCACACTTTGGACTGAACCATTACACCCCGTAAACACTGACAGAACTAAACGGCTCGTTTTGAATGCTGTCTGGGCCCACCGCGCACCGACGCGCGAGCTCACAGACTGTCCGCGCGCAGACTTCTGGACTCTCGTGAACGCTCCCGGTTATATTATGATGAGCCACCGGAGCATTGTTTGGAATGGGAGAGGTCGCGTTTTTGGCGCGCTAGCGGGTATATCATATTTTACAATGGATACAATAAAAAAAAAAATGCTGGCTTGGTGCAAAAGCGTGATTGATTTCTAGACAACAATGAGATCTTGTAAGACCCGCCTAATAGGCTATTATAAATTCATCACATTATAAAAATGTTCTTGTGGCTGTCATGCATAGTTTGCAACATTATTGTTAAGAGCAGTTAAAATAACTTTTGGACTTGTAATTCTTATTCATTATTGTCGTGAAATATTTAGTATTAGCATATGATTGTATTAAATTAATCACAGTAAATTTACTTCATTTTAGCATATTTCTAACCCACATTCATACATTTAATATGCCATTTCTAATTCTATTATAATATTTTGAGCGATGCAATTACTTTTAACTTTTTAAATGTATTTATTATAAATTAAAACAGTTGAGTTAATGATAACATATGGGTTACAAAAATAATAACCAGACAGGTAACCCAATGATGGATAATTTTGGCACTGACCTGCTGTTGGGTTATTTTAACCCATGCAATCCATTGGGTCGCTGAGGTTAACCCAACAAATTAGGTAACAAAAATAACTCATTTGTTGGGTTATTTAGCTAGAAAATAATAAACTATTATTATCATCATTATTATTATTATAGTAGTAGTAATAATTATATGTAAATAGAAAAAAAAAAACTGCTTCTAATACATTGGCATTGCTTTATTTAAAAGCATGCAATTAGTGCCACTCCTCCCACAATAATAAATGCCAGTTTAGTTCATCCCCAAGCAACAGGGCAAGAGGGCTCTGTCTCTGTATCTTCTCCTCCAAGTACTGAACGAAATACAAGTATACACGCATGAATTTGTCCAAAATTTATTGTCATAAATAATGCACCTAGAAGTCACAAACCATCTTGCTGCACAATCTGTATGGTGGAGAATGGATAGGTGGCAGATTTGTTAAAGTGGCATCTCCAAAGTGGCATCTCCAAGGCTGTTTTTATATCAAACAGATTTTCAAAAATTTTAACCCAACTGGTTGTTATTAAATAAATAACCAAATAACGACTAAACATAAACCAAAAAACTAACACACACACACCAAATATTTTTAACTCAACCATTAACTCAACCCCAACGTTTTTAGAGTGCATCCATATATATAAATGTACATCCAGATGTGTGTGTATATATATATATATATATATATATATATATACACACACACACATCTGGATGTACATTTGTCAAGTTGATCAACACTTGACTTAAAAGCATCAGGGAGTCAGGTTGTGATTCTAATGCAACAGTTTTCAAGACCAGCACTGTTCCATCCAGAAGGGTTCACCACTATGCCCAAGGGTTTACCCTCATGATAAGTTCGAAGGGATTAAGTCAGTGCTTCTCAACCACGTTCCTGCAGGACTACCAGCTCTGCACGTATTCCATGTCGCCTTAACCAAACACACATGATTAGAATCCTCAGCTCAATAGCAGAGACTGAAAGACCTGTAATTGGTGTGGCAGACAAAGGAGACATCCAAAACATGCAGTGCTGGTGGTCCTCCAGGAATTTGGTTGAGAAACAATGGATTAGGGCATAGGGATAAGTCAATCCAAAGGAAATGTAGCGTGACACTAAACAACTTCCCTGCACAAAGGATCATGGTGGCCTGAAGTGTCCATCAGGTTTACCCTTTGAAATCTTCACTCCGAAGGGCTTTTTGAAGAGGCGAGTTTTGAGCACTTCAGTTTAGAATGACACTTCAATATGGTGGCCATGATCGTTTTCACTTCGAAGTGCCCTTTGGTAAGCAATACTGCATATTCCATTAGATATGCACCTCAGGAGTGCCCAAACTTGTTCCTAGAGGGCCACTGTCTTGCATTCCTACTCTAATTTAACAAACCTTAGCCAGCTAATCAAGACCTTCAGGCTCACTAGAAACAATGGAAGGCAAGCCTGAAACCTTTAGCCAAAATGCATAAAGGCTAATGGTAATGTGGCTCTGGCAGGGGAACATGATCAGAGGCTATTAGCTTTTACTCTTTTTTTTCCCAGTGCTAAGTAATACAAATTCTCTTATCGCTAATAGTAAGACAGTATATGCTATAGAGACATTTAGGCCTGTGATTCTTTGCTTTAGTCATGGGGACCCACAGCTCTGCACAACTTGTGTATCTCTCTCAATTGACACACTTGGTTCAGTTCATTGAGATATTCTCTAAAGAACTGATGATCTGAATCAGGTGTGTTAAATAATGTAGATTAGGGGTGCTCAACCATGTTCCTGGAGATCTACCTTCCAGCTTATTTCATATCAAACACACCTGCCTGTAAGCATCAAGTACTGTTCAGGTCCTAATTAATTTGTTCATGAGTGTTTGATCAGGGTTGAAGCTGAACTAGGTCTTCCAAAAGCGGGATTGCAGGATCAAGACAATCTATTCAAGTTATAACCAAGCTTTCCCATAGATTTGGGAAGAAATGGGATTCCAATGATGTTAAACATAAGATGGTTTTTAGTGCTAGATGGACTTGTGTCCATATTTAATATGTTACATTAAAATATTGCTCTCAAAGTGATCTCCAGGTCTTAGAGGACCAGAACTGTGTATAGTGTAGCTCCAACATATGTTTAGAAAGATCCTAGCTATTTTACAGACTGTAATGATTAGCTGATAAAGGTGTTTAATTAAGGTTGTAGTAAAACTGCGGTCACTCTGGACTTTTCTCCCCATTGACTTCCATTCATACGCACGTGAATGAGTCAGACTGGAAACACATGCTTGTGCTTCAAGTTTCGCAGTTTGCTGCGGTGCAAAGTTTAAGCTTGGTGAACTCTGACCTGCAAAATTGCATCGCTTGAGACCCATTAAAGATCAAAACATGACCTCTCTAGACAGAAATTTAAAACATGGACCAATCGCTCACCTTTTTTAATGGCTAATCATCTTGTTTATTCTTGCCCCTTTTTCGCAGCTTCATACTACATACTTCCGCACGCACAAACTCTAGTGCAGGGGTCCCCAAACTCGCTCCTGGAGGGCCACGGTCCTGCATAGTTTAGATCCGACTTCCTTCGACACACCTGACTGGAAGTTTCTAGTATACCTAGAAATAGCCTATTGGCTGGTTCAGGTGTGTCTATTGGGGTTGGAACTGAACTCTGCAGGACACCAGCTCACCAGGACCAAGTTTGGGCACTCCTGCTCTAGTGTAACCACAGCATAAAACTCAAACAATTAACCATTGTGCTAAGATTAAATAGGATACTGTTGTAATAGTTTAAACAGATACAACGCAGGAAACAATTGAATGCTGGGATGGAGGGGATATTTACATTGAAATCATTGTTCTCCTTTTGGGGCCAATTGAGCATAACTGGTGCTGACCATGTCCATCCCTTTTTTGACCATTGCTACCTACAGCGGGATAAAGCACCATGTCGCCAAGCACAGATATATTTACAAACTGTTTTCTTCTCAAATGTCTCCCACAGTCACCGATCCTAATCTATTAGGGAACTTTTATAATGTGGAGGAATGAGAAATTCTGCAGCAGTCGTTTGCTATTGTATGCTTCCAGCACCTGTTGAATTACAAAAATTCCACAAAATCCTTGATTCTCCTTACACTGGCTACCTGTTAAGTTTCATCATGATTTTAAAATATGACTTCTTACCTATAAAGCTTTAAATAATCTTGCTCCTGTTTATCTAACCAACCTCCTGTCTCACTACAATCCAACCTGCTCTATAAGATCTCTAAACTCAGGGCTTCGGGTAGTACCTGAAATAGCTAAATTTATTTAAGCAGCCTTCTCATTTAGCCTTCCTGATAATGTCCAAGGCGCAGATACACTATCTTAGTTTAAAACTAGTAAAGCGTACACACAGTGCATCACAGAACAATATGATTCATGAGTGTGTTCCACGAAGGTGAGCGGGACCTGTAGGACACGCTCCTCGTGTCTTAATGCACAAGACATTTTGCTAGAACCGCTCACATGCTTTACATGTTTGTTTGTGTTACTATGTTCATTTATAGTACGTTTTTGCATCTCCTTTAAATACACTTCGAACAGCAGCTACGCTAATAATTTTTAAAATTCTCTATTTATTCTACATTGTAAAAAAGCACTATACATAAACATCAAAGAATTGAAATTAAATCTATTTCCTCCTGAGGATACTCATCTCGAGTCCTCTAGAAATTATGCAGTGCCATTGATGCAATCCAAGACCTGTGAAAAATTGATGCCAATGAATCAGGCCATATCCTGAGCTGAGGTGGTTATGGAGGAGCGGAGAGTGCAAGAAGATTCCTGTGAGATAGGGGTGTCCAAACTCTTTTTTGTCTTGGAGGGCCGGTGTTCTGCTGAGTTTAGCTCCAATTTGCTTCAACACACCATGTTTCTAGTATCTAGAAAGAGATTAGCTGGTTCAGGTGTGTTTGATTAGGGTTGGAGCTAAACTCTCCCACCGAGTTTGGACACCCCTGCTGTAAGACCAAAGTGACAGATGAGTCTCTGCATTGATCCTGCGTCATCCAGCGTTCCCCAGTCTCTGGTGCTTTATTTCCATTCACTTTCTTCAATTGGTAAAGTTTCTTGCTACTGGCCTGCTTGGTTTGGGACTTATGGAGCTTCATTTGTGGATGTGTGTAAACGTAACATTCTGTAGTGCATTTAGTTATAGCCCAGTAGGCATACATTTTAAAACGTTAATATAGGTTAGATTTAGGATGTGATGTCAGGTCACAAGAATTCAATGTCTGGCCAGCATTTAAGTACACTGCTATTTTGACGTTCAATAAAGACATCAAAAGATGTTGATATTTGGTTGATTTTGGGTTGTGTTAGAAAGCGGCCAAAATTCAACATCAAGCCAACATCTAAAACAAAGGTCATATTGACGTCAAATATTGACATTTATTCATCAGGTTTTGCAACCAAAATCCAACCTCTGATAGATGTCATAGTGGTAACGTCCACACAACGTCAAGCTGTAACATCATTAGACTGATATTTGGTTGATTTTAGGTTGGACATTGACATCAGCCTATTGTTGGGTTCTGATGTCAACCCAATTTTCATTTCCAAACAAAATGCAACGTCCCCACGAGGGATACAACATCAACGTCATGTTCACGTCTTGTGCCTGCTGGGTGTTTAAGGCGATTTCGGTCATCATACGATAAATATCCATCATCTTCTCATCACTGACATGCATCTAAAGTCTCTGGGTGAATGCATGTAAAGATTTTAGACATCTTCTTGGACACTTAATTCTTTCAAACAGTTTGCTGCAATTTTAAATCACCCATGTCTTGACGTAGTTCATTATGTGATTTACCTTCTATGTGCAATTTGATTGGACAGGAATCATAGGACAGATTTTTCTAATCCCCATAAACATATAAAAATAAAGTACTGACTGCAGATTGAAGGAAATTAGTGAAGGAAAAAGTAGCGATTTTTAAAACTACTTAGTAAATGACAGTTTCTGAAAAAAAAAAAAAACTCCATTACAGTAATTTGAGTATTTGTAATTTGTTTCTTTACACCACTGCTCATATTTGAATGTCATGGGGTATACAAAATATCAGTCCTCTACCTTGTTCCTGGTTATCTACCTTCCTGCCGAGTTCAGTTCCAAACCTAAAAAAACACAGCTGTCGGTAATTATCAAGTGCTCCTTTAGACTCTAATCAGTTGGTTGTGTTTGATCAGCATTGGGAGGTCGATCCTTAAGAACAGCGTTGAGAATCTTTGCAGTATATGATGGACACACAAGTACAACAAAACTGACCAAGACCCTGCAATATCAGCCACACATCTCAATGACCACAGCACACATGGTTTAATGAAAATACTTGTTTAATTAATTTAACTTTTAGAATGTGATTTCTTTGAAATAATATATTAGTATTTCCCTCAATAGCATGTGACACCTCAGCATGGTGGTTTAATGAATAAAGTGCTTGTGATGAAAACTGCCACAACCATTACAGTCAAGAGAAATGATTCTGAACATGTCTTCAGTGCAGTACAAATCACCAGATCACACCTCGGAATCAACACGGCTCTGGAGAAAACACAGACTTCAGGCACAGAGAACTGCCTAGTCATCTCTGAGAGAGAAACTTTATGGCACTGCACTTCCACGTGGATACAAATATACAGGAAGTGCAATAACTCTTCTAAATAAGTCTGATTCTTCAAAAGGCGGACATCTAGAGGGGAAAAATAATTGTCCCCAGCAACAAAATGCTATATATTCATACACATGCATATGTTACATTTCTGACACTAGAGAAATGTTTTACCATTTATATATTTATATAAAAAGAAAATCAAACAGGACAATCTTAACGCAGCCAGCATATATCCGGTTTAAATTGCTGCATCAAGTCAAACACATATGAGCTAACAGAATAAACAGGCACGAAGCCCTGCACAGGAATATCCCTTACAGACCTGACAACAGCTAGCGCAAGACGACCAGCTACGCAATATTCATACAGCAGAGTCGATGGAATGTGTCAAAGATTGTGATTGCAATAACAATAATCAAGAGAAGTAAACATTCTTCGGTATAAAACAAATGCAGAATAACAAAAGTTAAGGAACACAAGAAAGGGTTGTGAAACATTCTCATTCTCTCATTCTCAACTGCCTCCGTTTCTCACATTCGGCAGCAATTCAGTGCAGGCATTTTTTCAAAATAACACAAACTCAAGAATACACACTCAAACACTATTAATGATGCAGATATTGGTCTTACAACATCGTACACAGTCCACTACTGTTTTCATTTTTTTTTTTTTTTACAAGAGTTATTTTAGTACAAATGTAAAGTGATGCAGCTGTATTGCAGTATTTTCACCCGTTTCAGTCACCAGGACTCGTGGAGCAAGTAAGGGAAGGGAAAAGAGAGCGTACACTGTTCACTGAACAGCAACACAATACAAACAAGCATTTTCTTTTCTTTTTTAAATTTGTTCATAAATTACTCCAAGTTCTTCTCAAAGGTCGCCATTATGTCCCTTTGCATGGTCATGTCAATGACTCCTGACATCTACAAGAAACACAATCAAAAACAAAAGCATTACTTATTAACAAACAGTAGAATTGGATTGCAATGCTTACGTGATTATTTGGGATCAATGTGATAAAAAAACACAATAATATTTACAGGAGTAATAAAACACACATTTTTACTGTATTTTATAACTCATAATAGCTGCAACAAACACTATTTAATTAATAATACATTTCAAAAGTACACATTAAGCTGATGATTGATTATAAACCTTGTTTGGCATGCTGTCCTGGGAGAGAGCCATAAGCTTATAAAATCCGAGAGCAGGGCTCCCTCCCGCTTGCAAGGCGAGAGGGGAGTTTAAGCTCAGGTAGATCGAGAACTCATCTGCTGTAGTAGCTAGTGAACAGATAATGATTGCTCTTAAGAGATGACTACTTACTAGGAGCATGTCTTTGGTGCCAATTTGGATTAGTCAACTAACTTAATTGGTGAATTATAAATTGGATAATGCAGGACCATCCGCAAACAATTATAAGCATGTGATCCTCTCAAAATTAGTTTAGAAATAAACTTCACTTGAATATACAGTCAAGGCTGAGGTTATTCACATCTTATACACATCTTAGTAGGAATACACCGATTCAGATACTTTCATCGGATATTGGTTTGATATCGCATATCAGCCGGTTAGTACCGATTCAAAGCTGATCTTGCATGTGTAATTTAGAAGTAAACAAAAGCCTTTACATTGAAGGTATCCTATTATAATGGCCTAGAAAGTTGTCATGTAGGCCTACTATATCCAAAGTGTTCTAAAGCTATTCTTTAGTTTAATGCGAAGTACAGATGAATATTCAAGTGGGTAAATTCATATTCAATTCAGCACTTCCTGCCGCTGTGTGTGTTAATCATTCTCTATTCATTCACAATTCAAACTGCATGCTGCGTTAATGAAAACTCAAAAAACTTTCTCAGAGACAAATTGTTCCTGTTAATATAAGTAATCAGTGGAGAAATGCGTTTAGTTTTGCATTAAATGGGTTCATTTTGACCTGCAACAAGGAATAAATTGTGGTTTCTAACTCATGTTGCAATGTTAGATCAGCAGATCACATTCACATCACTGGAGTAGAGAGAATTATTACCTGCTATTCAAACAAAGTAGGCCTCCCTGAAATTTTGGAAGTGTCCGCAGAAACAAGAGGGCTGCGCGCTGTCTCTCAGGCCCCTTTACATAGCAGGTCTTGAATTCTGTTTTGTTGCCTATATCTTTTTTTTGTTTGTTTGCTCACACGTTCTTTTAAATGTGACCCATATTAGATTCATGCGTTTACACTTGCTATTCAATTTATGGCGTCACGCATGCGTATAGGCGGGTTCTAACATCTGCGCCACACTAGCCACGGTGTAAGAAATTGTCTTGCTTTTAACTCTGCAAAATGTTAGATACACCCAAATTTAAAATGATTGAGATGGATGAGGGGGAAAGGGCTGTCATCGCAGCTTGCGCCCAGGTTTATTTATTTACATACTCCATCATTCAGAGGAATTTGTGGGTATGAGAGAGATCTCGGGTCTGGTGGGAGCAAATTGCGGCAACTAAACATTTTCCTCCTCTATGTTTCCTCTGTTGTTGCTGTTTACCGCATTGGCGTCTCCACACATGCTCTTCCTTCTACGTCATTAAACTGCCGTAAAGTACCACATTGTCATAAGTTTAATGATGTACAAAACAGAATGCCTCAATAAATCCAACCTGCCTGTTTACTTAAGTCGCATAGTCACATATGCAATTTATTCCACATGTGAAGGAGGCCTGAAATCGATCTCTGAATATCCGAATGGAAACATTTTTTTCGTTTACATGGTCATAGAACAGATCCAATCTGTCACATGAGCAAAAAACTGTATTGGGTCACACTGAACTGGCAGTGTAAACGGGCCTTCAGTTATGCATCAAGTGCTTCATTCACGCACCAGTTGTGTAGACACGACGTGTAAAATTCTGTAACATTGAAAATTTGTTCTCTCACCCTTCCGACTGAGTTTATTCTTCAGAGGTGAATACATTCAGTGCTGCAAATAGTTTGTAAAGCCTGGGTTATTGTGGTCAAAGTAGTAAATGAAATTAAAAAACGTTAACAGAAAATTATTTAGGCTCATTAAGGCTTCTCTAAAACTGAATATTTTTCTGTAATATTATTTGTCAATATTGTATTTAACAGACTAGTTTGTGTTTTGGCACAAAAGCATATAAGCGGACCTTGTTTTGAACTTTTGCAGTCTCACTCACGGCGTGATTTGGAAAGGGATTATTAAATAAAACTTCCCTCAGACAGTTTAGTTTAGTCTGCGTCTTACCTGCAGGAAAATATCACACTTTGCTAAAAGGCGGAGTATTTTACAAACGATTAGGGTCAACAGTGGTAGCCTATTGCAGATTTTAAAGAAAAATCTTAATATTAAGAAAAAGAAAACAAACTAGACCACAACAGATCAATGTCATAACGAATGCTAAAATAATGTATCCTAGTTTACAGCAAGCATCATGTTTTTAGTTTGTGTCAACTGTCATATACAGTAGGCTTATAACTCTGTTATTTTTTTAAAGGAAATATATAATTTGAGTTTATTACCAGAACTATAGAAACTATATTATGCCTGAAAACAAAAAAAAGCACAGTATCTGGATTGGATCTATATTAATCGATACTCAGATTATTGTTATCGGGATCAAATTGGTTCTAAAAAAAAATGGTATCAGTGCATCCCTAATTCTTACTTACTTTCATTCAACCCAGAGCGTTTTTCTTTATTTGGCCTGAACACAGGCCAAAGACACAGGCTTCCACCAAAAGATTATACAAATGATGACATTTGTACAAAAAGCGGCATGTCCAAAATTATGTATTCTCTTTGCAAACTATCATAGTCTATGTGAAAACTCAAAGTGCTACACCAGTGCAAATAGTTCAAGCTGTTCTAAAGCATCCCAATTAGCCTGATTCACTGGGAACAACTGTTTTACTCAACAGGTAAAAACAGAAGCTCTCTAAGTTGTTGGTTTGTGGTCAGTCCTGGCTAAGACAAAGCGGCTCAGTGAAGCTGCTCACATATTCCAGTGGCTACAGTGCAATGCATTATTTAAAAAAAACAAGACTTTATTATGCACTGTACAAAATAATAACAAAAAAAGCTCAGCGGACATGGTCGGGAGCCAAAAGTGACACCTGTGCTTGCCAGAAGGATAGTAAGTAGAAAAAAAAAAAAAAGAATCCAAAGATCACCACCATGGTCCATCCTGATAAATCTGGGCTCTGCTAGTGGCAACAATCTCAAGATAGACAGTCTAACTGACACTGCACATCACTGGGTTCCACGGACGCAGATAAAAGAGGGCACCATTGCTCCAGAGGGGATAAAAAAGGAAAAGCCTTTAACCCTAAGAACACCCTACACTGTCGAACATGGTGGTTGAAATTGAATATTCAGCCAGTGGACCAGGGAACCAAATCATAGTAAATGGTACCATGAAAACGGAGCAATTGGTCAAGATTCTTAACTACATCATCATCATCAGGCAGTCTGCAGCAAAACTTGGCCATGGACACCAATGGACTCACCCAAAACACAGCAAAAGTGGTAAAGAATTGTTAGCAGGCAAAAACATTAACACTTTAAAGTGGCCCAGCCTGTCCTGACTTATAACCAAATGAGAATCTGTAGAGGGAGCCAAAGGTCAGGGTGATGGCAAGGAGACCCTCCAATCTGAAAGAGTTGGAGCTCATCGCAAAAGAGGAATGGGCAAAAACACAAAAGGAAACATTCAAAAAGCTGTTGATTATTGAGAAGAGCTTGAATTATTTTGGACATGACATTTATGTTCAAATGTAAATAAAATCTGAAAAATATGTATTTTTTCCACAACGATGCTTCAGGTACACAGTCGTATTATCTTTTGGGAGAAGCCTGTGTCAAAAAAACTGCTAGTTGAATAAAAGTCAGAATTTGCCAGAGGTATGAATAATCTTGGGCTTTTCTTTATATTTTTCAAGTTTATTGAATGATTGTATTTTCATTAAGAATTCTTTAAAAACCCTACTATTTACAAAATGATATGGATATAATTTTAATTGGTTCTCTAAATGCCTAAATGTATGAAATACTTACAGCCTCTCTCCTGCGGCGCTCTTGTTCTCTCTTGCGTGCCATCTCTCGTTCTCGGTCAACAGAGTTCTGCAGAACAGAACTGGGCTCAGGGGCTTTGGGGGTGTCCAAGATGGCCGCCATCAGAGGCAACTCTGCTGACTCCACTTCTGGCTTTGAAGGCTGGCACTCCAGCTTAGCCTTCTGGGGCTGCTGCGTCAAACTACAAATCATTAAAGGCCAAACTGTCAGCTAGTTCAGTGAGAACAGTCCTATTTGAAAACTTAGCATATTGGCAATAGGATCAGAATGTTAATAATAAGTGAAATGAAATAAGACTTAAAATGCATTTCTAACAAACTAGCCAATGCTTTGAAACTAAGCCACGGGAGGCTGTGGTCACTGGAATCAAGTGTCCAGTCATGCAGAAATTGAAACTCCTCCAAAATGAAACTTACATAACCAAAGTACACACAGTGTGGCCTTAAAAAGATTCCTCTTTTATTACCAGCTTTTGTCTGTGCTGCTCTTCTCTCTACCAGCCTCCAACTGCAGCTTTCGAGCTCTCTCCCGCTCCTCTTTCTCCATGGCAACTTTGCGAAACTGCTGGAAACTTTCTTTGGATGATTTGATGGTGCAAGGAGTTTGAGTAGCCAGCTTACCAAGGCTCGTCCAAGAGTCAGCATGCTTCAGAACAATATCCTTAAATACACAAGAACAGGAGAATGCTGAAGACTGAGCTCACATTTCATACGATTTACTCGTATAAAATATCTGTACCTTTTTAGGCAGGTTGGATTTGGCATCTTGAATAGACTTGCATAGCTCGTTGTCATCATGTTTAGCTCCTAGAAAATGTACAGAAAAAAACAACTAAATTTTAAGTAACACTGGGAAAAACAAGAGAAAGAGCTTTAATGGAACCTGACGGGAGAAATGCTGACCATGTATTTTGTGCAGATGAACGGAGGACTCTTCTGGTGTCTCTGGGCAGTCCTGCTCATTCCTCATACTGGCTAATGGACTCTCATGGAGGGGTGACAACAACCTGCATTGCTGCAGAAAGAGCGAGAGTACAATAAGTTATTTCTGTTTGAGCCAAGGTGTTTATCCATTACACACAAACACAAGTAGCTATAAACAGATATATTAGGGCTGCTCGATTTTGGGACAAATCATAATAATAGTAATTATGACAAATCATAATAAATCCCGATAATTTTGGTCATAATTGTAATCACTATTATTCAAAACGATTATAAGTTAAAGTCAAAATTATTAGCGCTCCTGGGAATTGTTTTTTAAATAAATATTTCCCAAATTATGTTTAACAGAGCAAGGAATTTTAACAGTATTTCCTATAATGTTTTTTTATTCTTCTGCTTTTATTCTAACGAAAATAAAACAAATAAGCCTAGGTTTAAATATTTTGAAACCCATTTTAAGGTCAATATTATTAGCCCCCCTTAAGCAATATATATTTTTGATTGTCTGCAGAAGAAATTACTGTAATACAATGACTTGCCTAATTACCATAATTAAGCATTTGAATTGCACTTTAATCTGAATGTTTGTATTTTGAAAAATATCTAGTAAAATATTATGTACTGTCATCATATTAAAGATGAAAGAAATCAGAAATTAGAAATGCGATATCAAAACTATTGTTCAGAAATAAGTTGAAAAAAACTTCTTTCCATTAAACAGAAATTGGGGAGGAAAAGGATTGCTAATATTCAGGAGGGCTAATAATTCTGACTTCAGCTGTATACCCCTGAATTATTAGATCACTTGTTTATTTTTCCCCAATTTCTGTTTAATGGAAAAAAGATTTTTCTTCAACACATTTCTAAACATAATAGTTTTAATAACATTTTTTAATAACTGATTTATTTTATCTTTGCCATGATGACAGTAAATAATATTTTACTAGATATGTTTTAAGACACTTCTATACAGCTTAAAATAACTTTTAAAAGGTTTAACTAGATTAATTAGGTTAACTAGGCAGGTTAGGGTAATTAGCAAAGTTATTGTACAATGATGGTTTGTTCTGTAGAGAACAATAGTATAGAAAAATTAAAGCTTAAAGAAGCTAATAATTCTGTCCCTAAAATGTTTTTTTTTTAATATAACTGCTTTTATTCTAACCATACTGAAACAAATAAGATTTTTTCCAGAGGAAAAAATATTATCAGACATACTGTGAAAATTTCCCTGCTCTGTTAAACATCATTTGGAAAATACTTCAACTGTATATACACAGTTATTTTCCACCCTGCAAGGGAAAGAGAAACAAATACAATAGAACAAAAATATGAAACAAACTGTGCTTTAAGCATCTTCACCGTAAAAAAAACATTTTCGCTACAGAAGCCCTTCAGTCAAGAGCAGTGGGGGATTTTCTCGTTGTTTGATTAATGATAAAAACAGGCGGCAGCAGGAATATTTTGCGCGGTCACTTTAATGGTTTCTCTTTCACATGTCTTTTGATTCTTAACTTGTTTGTTTATTACACAAATGAGTGTTAATATGAATAATCACTGAACACCGCATTTTGACACCTATTTGACCATTAAAGCGCTCACATTAACGACCTTAGTTGTGTGCGCTCTGCTTGTCTTTGAATGAGACTGAATGCTGACCACATGCTTCTGACTGTGAGCCCGCTGCACAAACACATAAGCACGCGGTCTTTTGCGCTTTTAAGAGAAACAAATATGTACAACTTGAAAGGGGGCGGTATATGATGCAATAATCGTTTATCACAATTAATGGTTTTTCATAACCGTTAGAAGCCAAAATCGTAAACGGATTATCCATTATTTGCACAGCCCTAAAATATATAAAAGATTTCCGATCTCAAGGTCCACTCAGCTTTAGTATTTTGCTCTAACCCAGATTAAATACACTTATCTGTAGCTTTGTTACACAAAAGACCCTTGATTAACTAAGGTGGCCTTCACATTTGGTTCGAAAGCCTGGTCCAAACCCAATTTCGATTGTCCCCCTTGGCTGGTTTGTGTTCAACACTGTCTTTTTTCCTTCTGAACCCAGCTACATTTGCGTCAAACTCCTTTTTTTTGTACAGCTGTTGCTACTAGGTCGCTACTACTTCCATAGCATGTCGGTTTTCTGCCAAGCTGGAGCCAGAGCCCACACAGTTGCAGGCCAGATTGATTCCACCTTGCACCCTAGGGTCCATGCGCGCGCACTGGCCCAGCTGCACGAAGGAAGCTCCGACCCAGGCTTGTTACAAACCCCGCACCGCAACCAACATAATTCCACTGCTTGTGAACTGGGAAAGACGATGGCAACTTTAATGGTCGAGGAGCACCACCTAAGGCTAAAAATTGGCAAAAGATATGCGCAGAGTCTACAAAGTTTACTTTCTTCACTCCCCCATATCTCAGGCTGGCCTGTTCGGCGACACCGTCAGTGGATTTACCCTGGAATTCACAGCAGTGCAGTTGAATACAATGGGCTGAGTCATCTATCAGCAGGGATGTAAGACTGCTCCCCCCGAACCATCCACATCTACTGCTTGTCGTCGAGAGCGCCCATCAACGAGAGCTGCCTTGCCGCCACCTCTGGTCAGAGCACCTTGCAGGCAACCAGTGCTGCCCGCTGCAGGGTGCCGCTAATTCCAGTAAAACAGACCACGAAGCGCTCCTGAGATGGGCCATCTGGAGAAGAGGGAACTTGCTCTGTCCCCAGTGGGGGGGCCAGGCTCTTCATTCAACTGCGCTTAAAAAAAAAAAGCGCCACCAAACCTCAGAGAGAGCACTTTTCCACTTGCCCGGATATGACAGCCCAAACTCTGCCAGTCTGGGATGCGATGCCTTCCGACTCGCAGGTTCGGTGCATTTCGCCAGTGGCTCACGAGTTCTGGGAGGATGGTCTCCTTTCGCTCACTCCTTGAGGCCTTCCTCTGGAGTTTGGGTGCGAGGTTAGAGTAAATCTCTCGCCTCCAGCTCTTCTGCGGGACCCCATTGTTTCTCAGATCAGCACTCCCACTCCACGCTGCCCCACTGCTGGTATGTCAGCGATTGTAGCAATGAGTCCATTAGTGAGAGCACTTGCCTGCCTGGTTAGCTTGGGCCAGCCCTTCGCGGTGGCTCATATGCACAGACTCGGCTATGAGATTCAGTTCACGGGTGTGTATTTCACCAGGATCAGCCCCGTCTACCCCTGTCTTGCGAGAGGAGATGCGGTCCCCCTGGCGAAGGATGCAATCGAGCCGGTCCCTCCAGCCAAGATGGAGAGCGGGTTTTACAGCTCATACTTCATCGCGCCCAAAAAGAACCACTGTCTGCAAAAGCTGCCGTTTAGAATGCTCACGCAGAAACGCATTCTTTAGAGAGTTTGTCCACGGGATTGGTTTGCAGCAATAGACTTCAAGGACACATACTTCCATGTCTCCATTCTTCCACGCAACCATCAGATCCTGCGGTTTACATTCGAAGGTCAAGATTGGCAGTACAAAGTCCTTCCCTTCGGGCTCTCTTCATCTCAGCAGGTCTTCACCAAGCTCACAGAGGTTGTCCTAGTGACCGGCTCGCGGGCATTCACATACTCTATTATCTCGACAACTGCCTGATTTTGCCTACTCTCGGGAGCAAGTGATTATGCACAAAGACAAGGTGCTCTGGCACCTCCACTGGTTGGGGCTTCAGGTCAACAGAGAAAAGAGCAAACCCGTGCAGAGGATCTCTTTTCAAGGGTTGGAGCTGGACTCGGTCACCATGACAGCGCGCCTCTCCGGAGAGCGCGCTCAGCTAATACTGAACTGTCTGAGGAAGTTCGACAGCAAAATATTGTTCCCACTGAAATCTTTTCAGAGGCTCCTGGGGCATATGGCATCCGCAGCCGATGTCACACCACTCCAGCACTGGCTTCACGATTGAGTCCCCAGATGCGCATGGCACATAGGCACACACCAGGTAACTGTCACTGTGCTGTGTCGCTGCGCCTTCAGCCCCTAGAACGACCCCTCGATCCAACAGGCTGGAGGTTCCCCCTCAGTGAGTGTGCTCGCGCAGCTACTGTGCAAGGTAAGGGAGGACGAGAAGCAGGTCTTGCTAGTTGCGCCTCCCTGACCCAACCGGACCTGGATGTCAGAACTTTCCCTCCTCGCGACGGCCCTTCCCTGACCGATCCCTTTGAGAGAGGAACTACTCTCTCGGGGACAGGGCAACATCTAGCACCCTCGCCCAGATATTTGGAACCGCCATGTGTGGTCCTTAGACGCGAGCAAGACTAGGGTAACCTATCGACAGCGGTGGTTAATACCATCACTCAGGCTAGAGCCCCCTGGACGAGGCGCGCCTACGCCCTGGAGTGGAGTCTATTCAATGAACGGTGTGTCTCCCGCAGAGAAAACTCAGAACTTGCCAGATCAGCGCTGTGCTATCTTTCCTTCAAGAGAAGCTGGAGAGCTGGCTGTCACCCTCGACACTTAAGGTTTATGTGGCTGCCATCTCCGCTCTCCATGACACAGTGGCTGGCAGCACCGTGGGAAGGCATAACCTCATCAACTGGCTCCTCAGAGGTGAATTAATCCGCCCCTCTCTCATGCCCCCTTGGGATCTCGCCCTCGTTCTCATGAGCATGCGTACAGATCCATTCGAACCACTCGACTCAGTATCTTTAAGATTTCTGTACCTGAAGACAGCTCTGCTGGTCGCGTTGGCATCAATTAAGAAGGTCGGGGACCAGGAGGCGTTTTCAGTCAATGACTCGTGACTCTGCTGGCTGGTCAGCCTGCATTCTAGGTATTGGATGCATGATCCCATATGCTTATACAGCCACAGAGCAGTCCCCCCTTACAGGCGGAATCATGTCTTCCTTTACCGCTAACCATCTTATATTCATATGCGTACTCCCCTTCTCAGGTCTAGTCCATATGCTGTTTTGCCAACATTTCTACGCACTTAGGTAGCAGGTGGACTCCGCAGTGTCTCCTCTATCGGGACTGGACGCTTTCCCAACGTACTGTCGTATTTAAATTCCTAGAACTACCGAAACACTTTGTGGCTCCCAAAAAAATATTTCTAAATTCGTTAGTCTTCTGTTGAAGTGGGATAAGTAAGGGCCAGGGAACATGTTGGAAGACCACGCCTCATGCAGGTGCACTCACGCTCTTTTGCCTGGCAAACCTCTCATTGGGGGCAAAGTTAAGGTTCAATCATTATGGCGTTTTCCATACATTTCCCCATAGTGGAAGCTTTTTCCACATAGCATTGAAGTTTCCCTCCCGAAAGGGAACGCTCGGGTTACTAAAGTATAAAGGGGGGAACGGAAATGCTATGTTCCTTTGCCATAATGATGGCCTCTTAGCTGTTGAGGTGAAAGTCTCTTCAGCTAAAAAAAGAGATGCTTAGCTTTACATGCGCTCTGCTTATATTGCCAAATTGATTGCAACAAGGATCAGCTGTGCAAGCTGAAGCTGCCAACTCATTGGCATTTCATTGGCCCGTTTACACAATCTTTCAGATGATTGGCTTTCTGAACTAAATCCTCACAGTGAAAGTTTCACCCACATATCATTTCTGTTTACCCCCTTGCGGAACGAGGGTTACTTTAGTAACCAGAGCGTTAGCTCAACACCGCCATCAGTTCATGTGGGGAATTGAACGAGTCTGATGAACTGTATACTTGATAGCATTGAGCTCTTTTGGATGGTTCATTTTCAAATTTCACTGGTGTGAAAAATGCCCGTTTAAATTTTTAGCTATTGGTTTTTTTAATGTGATCAGACTATGATGTCAAGTTTTTGGTGAAAAAAAAAAAGCAATATTATGTGTGAGTAAGTGTTAAAAACATTTTTCTCTGTAATCAATACTTATATGCAGTTATTACTCAATACAGTTATTTGTATGATGTGCTTTATATGAAGTGAAACATTTGTGTAGGTCTTTTACATTGTGCTCGTTTCATATAAATAGTTATGTTCCTTATACTAGGTTTGTCATGAGTCAATATATTCATTCATAGAAATTAACTTTATTCAAGACTTTTAGTTTTGATCACAACTTTATTTTTATCCTCAGTGTCAGTATATTATGCATGTAGTGTTTATGAGCATGGTGAAGTTACCTTTATCTCTAGATGCCTAACAAGCATCTTACTTCGTTTAAAACAAAGCACAGGCACATCCTAGGTAATATTTCAGAGGCGCAACCAATTATAACATGTGAACACGTGCCTTATAAAGACACAGAGGAGAGGAAGCTTAAAAAAATATTGCACACAAAGTACTCACAGCTTGACAATATTCCAATTTTTGGGTCACCATTGGAATTGTGTAGCCCTAGTTTCCAGACAGCACTATTTTAGAATGGATTAGGGAACCTTTTCCCCCTATATAGTCAATACAGCAAGCACTGACTCTTTTATTGGACCCTTTTCACAAGACTGTTATAATGCGTTTAACAGACATAAATATCCTAATTCCTTAAAAGTTTTAAATATTTTGATAAAAAAAAGTATTACATGCATGTATTGTATTATCCTTACAAAAAATGAATTACCCCTTGTCTAAGGTGTTTGAACTGCTGAGTGTAAGGGCAGGACAGTAAATTTAAAATTGTTCTCTTTTCTGGCTGCTGTTATCATTCATTCATTTTCTTGTCGGCTTATTCCCTTTATTAACCCGGGGTCGCCACAGCAGAATGAACCCCCAACTTATCCAGCACGTATTTACGCAGCGGATGCCCTTCCAGCCACAACCCATCTCTGGGAAACATAGACAGAGACAAATTTATACACTACTGACAATTTAGCCTTCCCAATTCACCTGTAGCACATGTCTTTGGACAGTGGGGGAAACCGGAGCACCTGGGGGAAACCCTCGCGAAAGCAGGGAGAACATGCAAACTCCACACACGAGGCTCGAACCAGCGACTTTCTTGCTGTGAGGTGACAGCACTACTTACGGCATCGCCCCTGCTGTTATCAGTCTTGCACAATAAATTTTTTCTAAAAATTTTGATAACACTATCATGGAGTTTTTCTTTATTTTTTCAGCAAACAGGACTGTAAATATATTATGTTGAACTCTACTATTCACTGTGCTTACCCATCCATGATGACTTCCGCTTCTCAGAAACCAGAAAATGTGAAGAGGGTTCATAGAAAACCATAATAAACATTAAGTGGTGCTTGTGTATAAAAATACCTAAATCAACTAAAAAAAAGTTTATTCTTTCAGGTCTGTTATTAATTTTAGGCCCAAGACAAACCAAGCTGACACCAAAGGACTAGTGCAGACAAAAAACAATTGTGTTTTTCCACACCCAAAAAGGACAGTAAACAGTTTTATAATTTTACAAAGGGACACCCGAACTTGTCACGCACTCAGAGAAACCATAAAGCAGAGTTTAGTACCATTTTCACTGTACTTGTTACTCTCAATGGTGGGACTCGCTTGTGCAAATATCCCTGATAATCTAATAATCTATTTTGTTTGGAAGTATTTAAAAAAATGAAGCAAAACTACAGCTCCATTACAAAGTTCACTTGTGCGTGTTCAACTGTACAAATGGGTTTCTTCTCATATGAAGAGAAACAAGTTCAGCAGAATTACCTCAAACTGGGAACTGGAGGTAGACTGGGATCCTGTGGCAGGCATGGCTGCAGAAGGTGAGGTCAAAGGTGACAGAAGTGGTGGGATGCCTGCAATTTTGAGAAGTAGAAAGAGTAAGAGAGAAGAAGAAAAAGAGATGGGTTTACCTTGAATGAGATCCTGCCTGATATGTACATCAAAGCTATTAGTAAAAGATGACAATGACATGCAGCTGGGGGAAAACAAGCCAACCAAATAAAAAACATAAACAAACCACGAGTTAAAGGCTGAATTATATTTCTGTCTCGAGAGATTGCCAAAACTCACAGTACATGGTTGTGTAGCGGTGCATTTATACTTCTGCATTTTGTTTGCATTGCTCTGCAATAACACTTCCAAAACGCTGACAGTGGGGTTTTAGATTCCTCTGTGTGAAGTTTCTACATAGATGTTTTGTGTACAGAAAATACCTGTAATGCTACCTTACTGCACAAGTAATTAAATTCACTTATTCACAGACAGGAACAACTTTAATCAAAATAAACAAGTCTTGACGCTTGTTAAACACTCTCTCCATCGGGCTTGTGGTTCTCGGCCCCACCCACACTCGTCAATGCTACAATGCCAACCAATCACAGAGTTTGCGCTATGCATTGTCATGTAGTTGCTTTTATTTTTTGGTGAAGGGTGCGAACGGTATGCTGCTGTGTGGAAGCTGCACCAGACCATAAATATGCACTCGACGCAGAAGTATAATTCAGCCTTAAGACAAAGAAAGTCAACCCACAATAGAAGAGGCTGCAGATGCTCAATGTTAATGTACGGAGGTTGAGCAAGGGAGGGGCAGACGAGCAGGCGACGAGTCGATACATCGGCCTCTTACCTTCCTTCTCAGACTTTTGTGGAGGTATCTTTGCAGCAACAGATGATGGGGGGCCAACCTGAGATACTTGCATGTCAGGAGGGGGGAGCAAGGGACTACATGGGAACAAAGGGTCTTTAGGGAGTGAGTTGGGTGGATCTGGGGTGACTGACTCAGGGGAACTTTTAGCTGGGATGATTGTGTGGTCTTTACAGGGAGAGGTGGCGGAAGCATTATATAAAGGGCTGAGGGCTTGGTCTGGAGGTAGGCTGAGTGGTGAAGGGGTAGTCCAGATTTTACGAGGTAGCGCGGCAGCTTTGCCGCTGGGTCTGGAGGGCTGAGGAGGCAGCCGACTGTGCAACGCTGCCATGGAAGGAGGACAGAGGGATGGACAAAAAACGCATTAAATTGTTATATGAAAGCAGCCAACCTCCATTAGCCTCCACATGTAGTTTTAAAATTACACGAGGCATTAAAAAAATATTTCTGGAGGTCATTTCTATGCGACAACAAAAAAAAAAATTAGGTGAACAGAAGTACGAACAATGGCATTGAGCCTAACCTGTGATTGCTGTGATGTCCTCGACAGGATGCTTTGCGTGTTGTGATGCAAACAGGTCTTTGGAGCCTGTCTCTGAGACTAGTGAGGATGGGCGAGACTGGCACATCACGCCTGAGGCAGAAGAAGAGTCCTTTACCTCAGCATTGGCCTGCCGCAATGCCTGTTCAGGGAGGGGGACAACGGGGTAATATTTCACTCAGGAAATATCTGTCACTACACGAAGTGAAATGCTCCATGTGCCATTTAAGGAAATAGGAGTGGGCCATTTAATATTGCATGTTTCTAAACAGCTTGTGTGCTTTACCTTCTTTTTAATTTTGTTGGCATGACCAGGGCCTTTGCTTTGCTTCCTCTTAGTTTTCTGTTCTGTAAGACATGCACAACGCACACTGAGGTCATTTCACTTCAGTCATGGCTGTGGGAAAGGCCAAACCCATCCCATGATCATTTCTGTGGAAATTCCAGCTCATCGGAAGCTCTGTAATAAACATATGATCTATGGTGTGCAATTTAACAGGCACAATAACTGTAAAATAAATACAAATTATATATACACCGTAAAGCCTGAAATCATTTATACCCCAGGGGCATGAATAATTCTAAATACATTTATACAAGTGATCAAAATTTGTGTATTACTCAGTAAAACATGCATTATTTGTGGGAAAGTGTTTTGGTGATGAGTAAACGTGAAATGACAAAACAAAAAGAAAAGAAAACACAACACTAAATTTGAACAACAGTAGTCTATGAAAATGTTCTTTATTATTATTATTTATTAAAATTGGGGTGTCAAACACCGAGCTCAAAGTGTAATCTGTATACCTTTTAAGACAAATAAAACGCACACAATATATTTCAAGTAGGTTGCCTCTTATAACAGCTGCTTTTGGTCATACTTTCCATATTCCGACTATAGTTTACAATCCGAGAAACTCACATACACCATATTGATGTATGCTTTTACAATCTATTGTAGATTACCATTACATACACATTTCTGCATAACCTATCACACAAGTACAAAGGGTGAAGTTACAAAGTAATTCAATAAGAGAAGCACAAAGCAATGAATCAGTGCAGCAGTTTAAAACAGAGCAGCTGTATCTCTTAGCAGGGACAAAAGAACAACACAAACTGTTGTGCTCTGATAATTTAAACCTTACCACAGTGTCAATTTTACTTTAAAGAATATAAAACAACTAAAAAAAACCCCACCAAGAGCCAGCTGGTCTCAAACTTGTCTTAAACTACATCACCAACATAAATAAGTGACTGTGATGATGAAAGAAAAAATATGAACAAAATATTGAACATTGGAAAACAAACAAAAATAAAACGAACAGCACCCAAACAAAACTACAGAAAAAAAGTGCGAGACAGACTTGGTTGACTAATCAATTTACTCAACTGAAGCCAAAAGTGCACATTTATTTTAGAAGTACAATAAAAGAGAATAGGGACAGATTGTGAAAAAAAGAAAAGAAAAATACTCCCACTTTTATTTTATGGTTTAAGGAAAAAAGGTGATCTCAGTAGTGTGTTTTGATGTCCTGTAGGTGTTAAAAGTGAAATCGTGAAGGAGTTCCAAATAAGCTTTACAGTTTTTGGTTTCTGCTTCAGTGGCCACATAGATAGCGAAGGCCTGAGAGGCAATGAGTGAATAAAAGGGTTGGTGGGTATGTGTAAAGCAGCTAACCTGAATCAGAGTCACAGCTATCAGAGGAGCTAGAGTCACTACTACTGCTGTCAGAGCTGGACGAGCTGCTGCTGCTGTCACTCAGACGAGAAGGATGGGTCGTGTCTTTAATCTCCCCATCAGTTTCAACTGCACACACAAAGAAAGAAAGAAAATCCATTTACACTACATCTAGATTTTATTTTCTTCCCCGAAGAATATATGTAACTGTATATACTTACTTTTGGTCTTTTTATGAGAGTTTTGTTCTCCAGTTGCGTGTTGTAGGTCTTTATCCTTTTCCTTGATTTTAGACTTCTTTGGGGGCTTGTTTTCTATAAAGAAACACCCATAAATCAGTTACATTTTCCGCTTTTATACATTAACTTAAATATTTTTTGGTACAAGAGTTTAAGTGGCGAAAACCGAAACTACAGAAGAGACCCTGTCATAATAAAAGGGATACATGAAAATAAAAAACTGTCATCATCTACACACCATTTACTTGGTTCCATAGGTGTTTTTTTTTTTGAGCTCAAAAAAAATATACTAACCAATGTTGAAACCTGTAACCATTGACGCCCTGAGTAGATAAAAAAAAATTAAATACTATGGAAGTCAATGGTTACAAGTTTCCAATTTTTTTCAATATATATAATTGTGTTTAACAAAAATAATAACTTTAACTTGTATGAAACGGGTAAAGGATGAGTAAAAAATAACAGAATTGTAACTGTGACTTCCATTCATACGTGTGAGAATGCGAGACCAAAAATACAAGCTTGTGAGACAAGTTTCGTAGTTCGCTGCATTGCAAAGTTCAAGCTTGGTGAACTCTGACCTGCGAAATCACATCACATGACTGCGTGAGACCAATCAAAGATAAAAACATGACCTCTCTGGACAGAAAATTTTAGATATGGACCAATCGCTTGATTTTTTAAATCTCTAATCATCTTGTGTAATCTTGCCCCTTTTCACAGTGTCGTATGACAGAATTTCGCATGCTCAAACTCTAGTGTGACTGCAGCATTACTTCCAACCCTAATTAAAGGTTCAGGACACCCTGGATAACTTTTTTTTTATATTAACAGATTTGTGTGTGTTGAGCATCAGTTAAGACAATGTTTGCACCTGTCAGCTTTAATTGTGGGGAAAACTGGATAATTTTGAGCTTTTGTCAGCTAATTTCAGCTTCCGGGTTTAAAATGATTTTTGGGGCGGGATCAAAATCGGCGACGTAGCGCAGTACTGCAAGTGCAATGATGACGCGTCGGTTTTTCATTATTATTCATAGCGGAGTTTTCTTATCCTATGAGAAGAGCCGGCTGCTTAATTATTCATGAGACCTGCCAGAGTCAAGCCCGAGCTGTGAGACAAGGACCCACGGCACACAGAATTTAGCCGTTCATAAAGGCTCATATGCGTTTGTTTCCATGATCCACAGGGTTTGCTGCATGTTTTCCCCCGCGATCTTGTCAGGGTCAATCATACAGCAAAGCTGTGTGTGTGCTGCTAGCATTTTTGTCGGGAGAGCAGCACGGGAATTAGAGAATGGCGGACGCTGTCTTTTATCAGGAGTTCGTTCACATTCAGACACATCACTGTGCTGCTGTGTTTGCCTAAATCCTCTAGATTACCAGCAGGACTAATGGTTAAAACTGATTAAAACTGCACTGAGTCTGCTGAATACGGGGATTGAGGGAGAAGTCCTCATTTATAGGGTTTACATGAACACACTTATCTTTATAATGATATAAATTGTGGTTTTGTGTATATGAAATTACGAATAACAAGTGTAGCAGGGCATTAAATCACTGTTCATTTCTTTGCATTTTAACTTTGTAAACTATAAACGCATGCGTCTCCTCACGGTTTGTTTCATTTTGTGAGCTAACTGACAACAGTTGTTCGCTCACGTTCTCCCCTGCTAACTACGCCCACTCCTGCCCGATGCTCGCGGAGCTCCACGCCCATTAATCATGCATCTTTTGAAAAAATTCTGAAGTAGACTTTAACTGAAAATGGGGGGTGTCATGGCCCTTTAAACACCTGATCAAAACAAAGTCCTTCAGGCTTATTTGAAATCGACAGAGAAGCGTATTGAAGCAGGGTTGAAACTAAATCATGTAGGGTTTGACACACCTGCTTTAGATTATATACTACAATACTCTTCATGATACACTTCATTGTACTCATATACATACAGACAATACTCAATAGTATATCATATTACAATCAATCATTGTAGTATGATATACTACAATACTAATTCTTCATAGAATGACAAAAGTTAATGTTTAAAATTATTTATACATGGGCAATTTAAATTTTTTGTACGTCTGATCATTTTGTTTACATATTTCAAAAAAGTTAAAAAAAAAAAAAAAAAAAAAAGAGTTGTTAATATATGATATGTTATTTAACATTACTCACTGTTGGTTTCTTTAGTTTTTTTCCGGAGACAACCCACAACATAGCACTCAAGAGCTCGAAGAGTTGATGGTTTGAGAGTCTCAAAGTCGATTTCGATCTCTTCAGGGTCTGTGTCCCTTAACAGGGGTTCTCGTGCCTTGATGATGTTCACTACTTTCCCAAGTTTGTCTCCAGGAAGCTTGTTAATGTCTAGACTTAGTTGGCGTTTCTCTTCATAAGACATAGGCAAAGTGTTCATCTCCTCCTCAGAGTCACATGCTCTACTCTCTTTCCGCCTAAGAACAGAGTTAAACTTTGGTTTCTCCAAAGAATTCATCATAGTACAAACTTTACATATAAAACACACACACACACACATACACAAACACAGAAAATGTTCTTACCCTGATGACTTGCTGCTGCTTGAGCGCTTCAGTATTTTTGCTGGTTTCTTCATTTCTTCACCTTTTCGTTTACTGGACTCCCTCTCTTTCTTTTTCTTCTTCTTGGATTTTTCTTTTTTCTTTGGTTTCAATAGAGGTGTCTGGGTCAGTAACTGCAGCTGCTCTCGTACTGCTTTCAGCTGACAAATAGAAAATAAATAAATAAATAAAAAATGGCATTATATAAGAATAAATATGTCAACACTGACTGTTATACTATTAAATAAAAAGTTTAAAACCACTAACTACTGTACAACTGGGCAATTTACAAACCCAAATATTTAACTAAGAATTCGATAGCCCTAGGCAGTCCCCCAAAATTTAATTTTTTTTGTAACTAAAATGCTTGATGTGGTGAATGCCTATGTGTTGAGCCAATTTGTTGCTGTGAAAATATACACAAATGTACACATCTTAATTCGGATATGCATATGACCACATGATGCATATCTGCAATATGTAGAAGTCTATAAAGCAAAGATGCTTTAAATGGGCATTGTGATAATGTCGCAATTCGAATCACACAGAGGATGAGACGTTTGCATCAACAACTTCAGGCTTTGCACACCAGGCGAGCACATTCTGTTCGCGTTTTTTAACATAAAAAAATATGCAGATGGTGCTTGGTAGAGCAGCAGGAAATCGAAAAGGGTCCCAACTCTCCAAAATATGTGGGAAATTAGCAGCAAAAAATAAATAACATTTTTTTAGCAACATTTGCTTGATTTTGCATTAAATTCAGTGATTGCAGAATCATGAAATAATGGAGGGTCTGTTTGGGTGTTTCCACATTGCTACAAAAAAAAATAATTCATTTAATTATTGTACACAAAACATTTTCTTTTATCTAGTCCAACAAATTACATAGTTTTATAAATGCCATTTTTATGTTGGCTAAGAACATCGAGGAGTTTTTCCACTGTAAAGTATAGATAACGACTAACTACTAAAAGAGATCATAAAATTAAAGCTTTTTAGAGATGTTGACACATCAGGAGATATGATGCCATTAAGCAGCAAATGTGTGTATGGGACTCAAGCACTGCAAAAGTTACCTGTTCTTCCAGACTGGCAAGCCTGTGCGCTCTCTCCTCTTCATCCTCCTCTTCAGTGTCAGAGGAGTTTTCAGGAGACGATGATTCACTGTCACTGCTTTCAGAGCTGGATGGACTGCGTGCTCTTTCTTTCTTTACTCTGTTGTGACTAGAGACTGGGTTTGCATTCTTCGGCTCATCAGGAATCTTGGAGAAGCGAAACTCAAAAACATCCTGGGCAAAAAAAATAAAAATAATTAAAAACAAACCTTAAACTAAATATTTACTCTGCTAGGAAAGTTAGAACATCCTGAAATCTATATGAATAGTTGATACTATGTTGCATTTTTCACTGTCAAACATGGCATTAATTATAATTAGTATTGACCTAAAAATGCAACAAAATGGTAAAATCTTTTTTTTTTTTTTGGAACCCCTACAAAAAGTTTAAATTTGTTGTGCTGTGATGTGATTGACAACCCTGTTTTGAAGTCATAGTTTTTTTTATTATTAAAATAAATAGCCCTATACGAAGATAACTGTCCATCAAAAAATAAAAAATAAAAATTCACAACAAACAGCAACAAATAAATAAAAAATAATAAAAATTCACTTATACTATTTGCTAATTATAGAGTTGGTTTTTTTATATAAATGGTCTGATATCAAAAGTTACAGGTCCAGTGAAATTAAAATAAATTTTTTTAGAAGTTAGTATCAGTATGTTAGCTTTTAAGGATATCTATAAGCTAGTGTAATACAAAAACGATGACAAAGTTTGTATTTAGAAATTTTAAAAAGCAATGTAACATGTAAAGCTTGTAGCTTGTCACTTCTGCCTAAATGGAAACCATTTTTTTTCTGTCACCACATACTTTATTTTTCCTTGTTAAACCTTGACCAATCAAATGCTCCCTAGTATCTGACATGCACTGCCCCCTTAAAGAACCTTCTCATATGCTTTTCATTTGATGCGCTTGAGCTCAACCACTCACTGACAGAGCAGTTATAAAACAGAACGCTATTAGCTGTTTTTTTTTTTTAAGGATAGGAGTTACTCTGTCCCACCCTCTCTTTGTTTATCAGTTGAGATTAAGTCAAACATTGAATAAAAAAAAAGCACATTTCAAAGTACTTCACTGAACCTTTAAGTTACAGTTAGAAAGAAAATGAAGAAAGAAAGAAATAAAATAAAAGAATTGATAGTAAGATTGTAACCCATTATATTTTCTCAAACATAAAAAAAAAAAATCAAGCTAGATGCATATAATTATAGTTTCTTCAAAAATCATGTAAAAAACATTGTCACTGACTATTTAAAAAAAATATTTTATTTATAAAAGTAACAGGAAGAGTTAAACAAAAACTCTGAAGGAAGATAAACCACCTAAATACAAACCTGGAGTTTCCTTGCCATGCTCACTACCTCATGGCCGGGTGGATTGTATTTGTAGCAGTTTGAGAACATGAGCCGCATATCTGCAGCAAACTGCAGTGCATCTGTGTATTCGCGAGCTTCCATTTTTTTCTGTAAAAAAATAAAATAAATTTATTATAATAGTCAGCATAAGATAATCCAGAAACATGAAGACAACAGTGCTACTAACTTTGATGGTGCTCATATCCATGGGTTGGTGGATGATTTCATGATAATCAAGAAGACCAAGTGTCTCAGCATCCACAGGTTTATAAAAGGGCCAGGCATAAGCTGAATGCTTTTTGGAAAACATCTCTTTTAGGATGGCATTGCAGTATTTGAGTCTCTCTGAGAGTTTGGTCCTTCGGCCCACCTGATGCTGTGGTGGGGATTCAGGAAGGTCTTTGCATGGAGGTTTGATGGGTCGTCCACTGCCTCGTCTGGAGAATAACTTAAGGACTTTTGGTTCTGTTACACAAGGTGATGACTCGCAGCTGGGGATGGAAGAGGCAGAAGGGGTCGTAGTGTCTGCTTTTCTTTTCACGCCATTTTTTAACTATAAGAGAACAAAACCATAAATTAATATGCATGTTGGCCCTGTGATAGTTAAAAAAAATTTTGATTTCTCTCATTTACTCATGTCAAGCCCGTTCACGTTGTTCATTAATTTAACACAGTAGGATATATTATGAAAAACTGCAATCAGTCACTTTCATAGTATTTGCTTTTCTTACTGCAGCAGTCAATAGTTACAGATTTTAAGCTTTCTTCAAAATATCTTCTTTTGTAATCAACAGAAGAAACTTTTTTTTTTTGCCTAAGCATTCCACCCTTAGCATACACCTTTCAATAACTATGTTTCCATCCACCTATTGTTATGCGCATAAAAAAAAAAACTGTTGATGGTAACGCCAAGATGTGCATACAATTTGAAAATGCGCATAAAAAACATATACACATAACTGAGTAGGATAAACTTTATTTGATAAGAAAAAGATGTGCATAAACTCCAATGGAAACACTTTTACTGAACAAAGTCCAGTATGTGCATTAAAAAAGGTCATTTGATTTTTTTAATAAGAGATCATGTGATGATAAAAAAAAAAAAATGTGAAAATGGATAAACCAGCAGGCTGAGCACACTGTAAAACATCTGAAATGTTGTTTGGTCATTCTAAAACAATTTAACTGTTTATTAGTGTTATTATATTATTAATGACCTCCAGAACTGTCAAGAGCGTCTGTGCTCCGTGTCTCACGCCTTCAAACACCACCCCGCGTTCACTGCTGGTCAGGATTGCCTTCAAAAGGTGAAAGTCATTTAAATCAATGAAGAAAAGATTCATGCAGCTTCTCCTACCTCAGTAAATTCCATTGATTTTTGGGGCCAGTTAATCAGGAAGTGACAATTTTGTTCGGTTTGACTCACTGGATGGTAACAATGCTTTATTTGCACATCTTTAATGCGATAATCTAGTTTTATGCATGAAAACTATAAATAATTAGAACTTTTGAATGGAAACATAGCTATTGACTAACCTTTTCAAACAAACATTACTCCTTAACTAAGCATTTATACCTGAGAATGATCACAATAAATCTGTGAAGTGGTTTAAAAAAAAAAAAATCTATATTTAATTTTAAATGTATAGGTAATTTGATAAAGTAACAACATACAATTAACAACTTCAAAATGAACAGGTTTTTGTGTCTCTATATTGCAAATTCACATGACCAGCATGCACAATAGAAAAATCTGCTAATTCAGCTCATTATGAGCAGGAAGTCAAAGTCAGAAAGCTACCAACAAAAACACTGGCTGTGGATTTCATCATATTTTTCATTAAAATCAGGAAGCAAAGGGATTTTTAAATCAAACCAGTTATTAACATGTGTCCATTACACAATATTCAACTTGTAAATTGACCCAAATTCACTATAAAACAGAATACTGCTGTGACAACGTGTTTGACAGTCCTTTTTGAGGGAAACCTACTTTTGCTGTGAGCTGTGCAGACAGGGGAGCAGAAGGAATTGTGTGAAGAGCATCCGGAGGGATGACGGTCACGGTTTGCTGGAAAACAACCTCAGACATTGGAGACGGTGGCCTCTTCTTTAACCCTGCATAAATATGCAAATGCAAAGTTTACTTCCGAGGTAAACTGTCTGAATTATATAGTGTACCTGTACGTATAAAATTCAATCAGTCCTTCAATCCTTATGATAAATATACCTATTGTAGACTTTCTTGCGCCTTTTACTGGACCTTTAGTTGTCAGAGCAGAAATCTCATACTCCTCCTCAGGCATCTCTGCCACCTTCTCCAAAAAAAGCTTCTCAAGCACTTGAGCCATCAGAACAATGTCATCCCCAGGCTGGAATCACACACATGCACAAAATAATGTCAAGACACCAAGTGCATTCTAATTTTTTAATTGAAACCCCAATTTCAAAGGGTTTGTGGGAAAGGGGGTATCATCATATTACTAACCCGATTGTAGACATAACAATTTGTAAACATGGTGTTAAAGTCTTCAACACACTCCATCGCTTTCCAGTAGTAATTGTTCTCAAGACGCTTTCTAATGGTGGTCAAATCCATTGGGTTTTTGATGATTGTATAATAATCCTAAAAATCAAAGTAGAAATCCTGAGATCACAGATAATTTTCAGCATATTATTATTGTTTTTAAAGTAAAAAAAATAAATCAGTAAAACAACTATAAACAGGAAAAAAAAAATCTAATGACAAAGCACCTTAATACTTACTGGCAAATTGAGTCTGACCGCATCCACTGGCTGTCTGAATGGCCAGGAGAAATGATGTTTCCACAGGGCCCTAATCACCACTTTTTCTATATATTGCAAATGATTGGTGAGGCGGCCAGGCTTTTTGGGGTTCTTGAACTCTGGGGGAGGGGGATTCCCATTCATGGTGAAATGCTGTGGGGGTTTCACATCAGACATAGCCTGAGCTGATCCTGGGAGTGATGCTGATCGGTGTGAAAAGGGTTTTCGCCGCTACACCTAGGCAGCTCAGCGAGCATTACAGATCCACTGTCTGTGCCACTGTAAACAGGGAGAGCAGTGTCAACATCCTCATACCATTCTGCACTGCTGTTTATTATCAAAGGCAAAGCAGAAAAATACAGCAGAGCACAAGCCTGTTTAAATCACAAGTCGTTTTGTGATAAGCATATACATAGGAGCTCATATCAAATACAAATTCTTTTTAGTAATGCACAAGTGCCAAATCAGTCAATCTCATACAGTAGTCTAGTATGCAGGACTACTGCAGGTTTTGTGGTATGCACTGCCCTCTATTGCCTAATAAAACCACACTGCTAAAATGCTTTTTAGCTTCACTCTTGAAATAAAATAAAAAAACCTTTTAGAGTTTAATCCGAATCATTTACTGAATATAGAAAATTATAATAAAAGATAACCAAATGTATAAATTACTTGTCAACTAAAATCCCATAAATTCAAGTCTAAACATGATGGCAATTATGTACAAATTATACAGTACAGATGACTTATCTATTGCAATATAAAATTAACTTGTGCTTTCAAATTAAATTGTCAACTTAACATTTTCAAAATAAATTAAAAATTCTAGATATTACTTTTGAAACTAGTGTCAAATCCACTTGTCAATTAAACACAATAAATATAATCCACAAATAAAATTCACTACTTTTCAAATACTTGGGATTTCAGTTTCATTTATACGTTAACTTACCTTTGACAATGCTTTAACACAATACATCTAACTGATAAGGGACATTCTTTAATGTACTCGTGAGCAAGCTTTATTTAGCTTACCAACAGAGGTTATACTTTTCTTACTTACCCCAAACTAAAAGGTCATCATCTTGTTCAGTAAAATATACTTTTGCTCATAATCAAAAACATTTACAAAAGTTAAATTGATCATTAAGTGCACTTTATTTATATAAAAGTTTTAGAAACAAACAAAAACATTGTACAAGAAGGCTAAAGACTTACAAATTTAATACAAGAAAAACTATGAAAAATAAAACGTAAAGATGCATTTTTTTATTTTATTTTTGAATGCTATAACGTAAAACATTTCGTTCCACACTGGTCTGATTATGAATGGGGAGGGAATGTTTTTAGGAGGACAGGGGAGAAAGCAAGGTTGTAAATTTTCTTTGACAATGTTCATTTGGAGAAAAAAAAAACAATAGAAGTTCATGTTTGTTTTTAACCTTTTGCATTTGGTCTAGACAAATGTATTGACGCAGTGACTATATTTGTTTTGTTGTAGTCAAACGCATGCCAATTGGACAAATGGAATACTGCACAAAGGAGAATGACATTCGTCTAACTTTGAACAAATCAGGCAGAGAGAAATTCTGTTTATCAACAAAACGGCTAACGCATATGATAATATACAATCAGAGACGGCTCCATACACTCATTTGAGATAGATAACGTTATGCCATATGGTGCGTTTACACGCAACATTTAGCTTGTTCCTTTACTCAATCCTGGACAACGCGTGTTACATAATTTCGACGACCTCATTGGATGACGCAACACCAACTTCCGTTTCGACAAAAAAAACCCCACAAAAGTGTCGCCTCTGCATAAACCGTCATCATTATGGACACTTTGCAACGTATACATCCATATAACACATTTCAAGTAATTAGAGATCAGTTTACACAAATTCACCGATAATTGTGTTAGCAAGCCTTGAGCCACAAAATGGCGCCCGGCTAACGCTAGCATAGCTAGCCACACATTACCCCGCCCCGTCAGATGCTGACATTGAGCTCAGCTAACAGTCCCTCCCATAGCCATTCCGCCAGCTAAATGAAGCTAGCTCAACTTGGACCCAAAATTTACCTTTCCGTCTCGAGCACAACAAAGAAAGTTTAAACGGCCGAACTGAGACAGACGCTGCAGTGCAGAAGGAGCTTAGCTGGAAAACTTCACCAACCGAAGGATCTTGTTGATGTTTTGAGCCCGAAAAAAACCTCTCTGAAAAACGATTTAAAGATTTTAAGCTAAGCCTTCTTAGCCAGCAGACCAAATTAACACCATAAACATGTATACGTTTGAAATAACTCGTTTCTGTGAAAGGTTAGTCATCAATGGCGGACGTCTCTCACGGCAACCGCCTGGTATTTATACCCTCCTGCTGAAAGCGCCCAGTCCCATTGGACAAGACCCCTCACGTGCTCCCTTCTTCCCCTCGCGCCTTTAAAACCGAGAAAACATTGTTTTAAAACGTACCCCTTAGTAACATTCCCGTTTTATACCTGACTTCGACCCGAAACGGTGTTTTACAATTGATCACGTTTATTTGTACGACGGCGGTCGAACTCCACAGACGTACGTCAGAGTATTTTTTTTAAAAGTGCGACATAACTGGTCTCCGGACATCACATGACCCTTCTAGAACATTCTGTCGATCGCCACAGCTCAATTCTTCTCTTTAGTGTCTGCTAAATGGTTACATTTTGTCTCTTTTCCGTGGCTTTGGTTGACAGCTTCTGACGAGAGTTGAACATCGGTCATCTCTGCAGCTTGAAAACTCTCACTAAGACAACTATGAAATGATAAAGCACTGAGCAGGGCTGAGGGGAGGTGAAAATGAACTAATGCGCACGCGCACTTTCTCGACAGTGATTGGCCACATGGTTGACGTTTTTCTGACGCCGTCCTCATCTTTTGTGTTCTGAATCTCTGTACAGACGTTTTAAAATACTTGATAACATTTGCGTTAGCCATTATACATTATCTAAATTCATGCAGACTGATGGAAATTGCTCATTCTGTGTAGATCATCCAGAGTCTTTGGTTCATCTTTTTGTGAATGTCAACATTTGATTTAAAGAAGTTTTGGGATGACCGTTGTCCAAAAATAAATCAGGTTTTAGCTGTAATTTGCCCACAAAGATGTATTTTATTTTAACTTAAACAATTTATCTGTGGAATTTATAATCAATCTTTTGATATTACTTACAAAATTCATATTTATAAATTTCAATTGAATAATCCTAAACCTTGTTTAAAGGTTTTCAACATATAGACTCCCTCCAGTATATTAATAGCAAATACATAAATAAATAAAAAATGTCCAGATACAGGTCGAGTTGCAAAGGAGTTGAGTTAATTGAATAGTAAACTTTCTTTCAATTTTTGTAGGTTAATTCCTTGGTCATTGTAAAAGTTTCTATACCGAAGTTGTGTTTTTATTTATTTTGATTGTGTAATTATTTTTAGTTAATTTTATGTTATTTGCGTTTGTATTATTTGGATGTCTGGTTTAAATTGTAAATTTGCTGTTGTTAAAAAAAAAAAAAAAAATTAAAGAAAAAATATCTGTACAGACATACAGATCATCATACAAGATTTTCAAATCCACGTTGAAACTATATAGATTAATAATACTGTTTAGCAATATGTATTCAAAACTTGTTGTCTAAAGGTATTGTTTTAGGCATCTGTAACAGTAATAAATACAGTGCTTGCTTTAGTAAATATTTAAGTTATATTATTTGCAAATGCTACATTCATAAATGTGAGTAAACCTAAAATAACAAAAAATCGATTGTCTTAAAACATTAACATATTCTTCAAAGTTTCTGTTTTAAGAACCTCACAAAGGTATGGAACCTCTTGAGGGGAAGTCAATTAAATTATTATATTTTTGGTTGAACCATTTCCTATTTGCACTTTCTAGTACTTTTATGAGCAGAAAAAAATGGACTGTATAGTACTTCATATTTTAACACCTCAGAGATTGAACCTGAGATTTGAGATTTTTTTTGTGCATCATACAAAAAAAAAAAAAAACTTTTAGCCACTCATTAGCAATCAAAAGTGAATGGAGACTAATTATTTTAATTAACTTTGAACTAGGGAGATAAATTGAAATCAGAATCTTAATTGAGTGCTGTAAATGTATGTTACCAGCATTATTGTGTTTACATATAACATATTCGAAGAATTATGTACAAAAAGCAAGCAAATTATATCATCTAAACATTAATAAAGGCATCACTAAACACAAATCTAGTATACTCAATCCATTTATTTGCTTTAAGTAACTTGTTTTAAAGCAAACTTTCCACAAGAGGGCAGCAAATGACCAATGTTGGATTAAATAAAAACTTTCATAATATCGATTTCTACCTTTCAGTGCTGCCATACACAACTTACAAAAATGCATGTAAGTAACTACATACAATTGCCCATTTCACCAAATAACGGTGGAGCACTGTCCTCTGCTAAACTTTGCTTTTATAAATATTTATAGAGAGAGAGAGAGCAGCATGACAACGTGTCATACATGTTGACATATCTTCATTTTTGTGTTCAAGACAGCTTTAAGGGAATCTCTAAGTAGCCATACATAAACATGCCTTGTATTTGCTCATATTTCAGATGAAAGGCTTCATCATGCCATGTGGCTCCAAGGTCAAGAGTTCAGAACCCCACATTCCACACGGGTCACTTCTCATAAATGAGAAAGTGTTATACAAGAAAACACTGTCACAGCTACAGATCGAGAGAGATCAGACCATGATAAGTTGAGAGAAGGGGTATGTGGGTTAAAGTTTTAAAAATGAAATAAAAAAATACTAATAATTTAGGTTAATTAATTAATTAAAGTAGATAAATGAACAATATACAACATTATAAAAATGATTAAATTAAATAAATACATTTGAAATTAAATACATACATAAAACAAAAATTAGAAGTCAAGTCAAGTCACCTTTATCACCGCTTTTCACAATGCTAATTCAAGCACAATCAAATATCAGTAACAGTTGTAAAGTTTTATCGCTTTTAAACAAGTTTAACAATGGCAGAAAGTCAGAAACAGTTTTTTAGATCAAGCAAGTTCAATGTTGATGTGGTTCAGATACATATATCAGTGTTTAAATGATGATATTCTACTGTAAGGAATTAAAAAACGTGATAAAACTTTCACCTTCAGCCTGATTATGTCCTGTTTATTTATTTTATTAATTTTGTTGTCGATGCTGTTGTTTTTATTTTTCTTGGCAAATAAATAAATTAATATCATATTTACTATTATTTACAGGAGGCACCTACTATACATCATTCAGCATAACATCACTATACATCATTGTAGCCATAAATAAATATTTTAACAAGAAGCACTTGATGATACATTGAAAGACCTCTGTAATTTGCTAGCAAGTAAGTTTTAAGCATTAACAATAAAATCAATTTCTTCCCTTTCATGTATTTTGTTAAATTAATTGATAATGATGCAGCATAATTACATTTATAAACAACAAAATCATTAGTCCAAGGCACTCGAAAAGTAAGTAAAAAAGTGTTTATTAATATTTTTTTTATAAACAACAGCACTATTGTGCACCACACCAACATGTTTTGGCAAAACTTGTCTTTATCAGGATAACCTATAATTATTACGTTTAATGTATTAAATATTTAAATTTATATTTTATTTCCACAAACATCATTTGAAAAAGTAAACACTTGAAATAATTTCTGTGAATAAACAGTGATTTTTTAATTGTTATTAAATGCAGTACAAATTCCCAAACAGGACATCCTGTCTTTAAGTCATGTCTATGCAACAATGTTACATATGCAAAAGACTTGTTTAGGATTTCCATTTGTCAATGCAGTACAATGAGTGCATTATAACGGATCATGCATTGGAATTCCCTGATATTCCATAGTTGATTTTCTTCCCAATTATATTCGATGTACCATTCATTTAATAAAAAAGAAAAACAAAATGACTGACAAAGAGAAAGAATGCAAACAAAACAAATGAAATCAAAGAATTAGGGCAGGGGAATCATGTTCGGGACTGGATTTTGTGGCATCTCTCTTTCCGTCTGTGCAGATGCTTTGAGCAGGCCTGCTTCAGAGGCATACATATGCATGAGAAGTGAAAGATGACATGAAGCCTCTGTGTACATCTTCATTGACACTCAAAAGCAGCATATCAATGTTTCCAAGACAGCAAGAAGCTCCAAAACAAAGTTTTCCATCTTGGAAGGGTGCTGTCTCATTAGTGGCAAATCACGACTCTGACATTTACACTGTAAGCAGTGCTAAAGCATTTCCATTTCCTTTAGAACGGAGCAGAACATTTCACTCAAACAACATAAGTCTGTTTGTTCACGAAAAAACAAGCCAGAAGAGGAGGCAGAGAGATAAAAAAGAAAGAAAATGCAAATGAAAAAGTAAATATATCCTGCAAAAACAAATACACACAAACATGAAATTTAGCTTAAATACAATCATACCATTTTTGTTTTGCTTTTTCCTTTGGCTCTTAAAAGCAAATTGAACACACATGCAATGACCAAATGCAACAGTAAACACAATAAAATGTTTTATATCACTTCAGTCGACGACTTCTTCAAGTGAATTGTTGATTGTAAAGGCTTATTAATTAGTTAATGATGTAATCAACTAAATGACTCCAAAGTCAAGATTTTGGTTAAAGAGGTGTGTTTGTGTCTAAGAAAGGCCAAACTAAAGTCAGGTCAACATGTTTTCCTTGAATCAAATCAGTTGGCAATGACAGAGTGATCCTGCTATCACTGAAAAATGTAACAGATAAGATTTACTACATCTATGAAATCAGAGTAGAAAGTAGTCTGGATAAAGATATTACTTTAGATAACACTTAGAACCTCATCCTAATAGAGTTAGGAAATATAATTTGCTTATGTAAAATGCATTTTGTATTGGTTGTCCTTGCTTTTAAAGTGTCTTTGTTGCACATTTTATAAAGTAATTACAACTAATTCTGCATAACCCAAGACTTAACCACTTCCTAACTCTAAACATATCAAATACATATCAAAATGTCAAAATAATAGTACATTGCAATGAATTCTGATTTGTATCAAATGAGGTTTACATCTATTTAAAGGATCTAAATGTTATAGTTGTCTCTCTGAAAAATGTAATTTTCTGATTTAGGGTAAGGATCAGAACATTTGTCTGGTAGTTGCTTGAGATTGTGGCATCATTGGCTTCACTTCAAATGAATTTATGATTATGATGAGCACATTTCCAGGCTTTCAAAATAACAAACATAGTAAAATGTATTACATTAACCTTATGTTCATTAAAATGCAAGACAATGCTTCACAGAAAAGAAATGCATTTGAATATGTATGGATGAATAATCATATTTTAAGATATTTTGGAATGTACATTATTTAAAATACAGCAATCCACTAATTTTATTGTAGTGGTTTATGCAGTTTTGGTCAAACATCTTTATTGTCATTTTTATGATGTTTAAAAATTGGCTGGATGTGGTGTGTGAAAAAGGTTAAAGGAACAAGATTATTCACAAAAGCTTAAAAAATGACAAATTCCACTAAATAAAAGGTCTGTTGAGAGGAACTAAAAAGAAGAATGGCAGAAGTTGCCTAAAAATAAATGTGCCATGCTTGTAGCATCATGCTCAAAAAGACTTGAGGTTCTAATTGGTGACAAAGGTGTTTATTCATTTAAAAAGCAACAAAAATAAATGAGCTTTCAAATGAACTTCTTTCATGTAGGCATTATACTGTATTATTTTCAGAATTGTTTGGGAAATATATTAATTTAATTAATTTTGGAATACGGC